TGGGTATTTTGGACTTGAAGTTCTGGTTTCAAAATTCCATCTTCTTGCAAAATCTTTATATTTCCTGCAATTTTATATGTGGACCATTATCCGAATATACTATTTTCGGAATACCATGTCTTGCAAAAATTGATTTAAATTGCTTTATCACTGCTACACTTGACAAATCTTCCAAATGTACAATTTCAACATATTTGCTAAAATAATCTATAATTATTAGATAATCCCTTCCTTTAAAGTAAAAGAGGTCTGTTCCCAATACTTCCCATGGACCATTAGGTATTTCTTTAGATATCATTGGTTCTTTAGTATTAGCTTTTGTAAACTTAAACATGTTTGACAATTCAGTACCAAATCTTCAATTTCTTTGGACATTCCTGGCCAATATAATATTTCTCTTGCTTTGATCTTGCATTTTACTACTCCTAAATGACCATAATGGAATTCTGCTTAACATATCTTTTCGTAAACTTCTTGGTACAACAACACAGGAATTTTTAAATATTAATCCATTTGCTTCTGATAGTTCTTCTCTGAAGTTAAAATATGGTTTTTGCCAGTTCTGGAACCATACATTTTTCATCTGGCCATCCAGTTTAATTAATTTTCTTAAAACTTGTAGTTCTTCATCTTTTTCTGTTTCCAGTTGAAAAACTTCCATTTTACCATTAGACATTGGTATACATTCTACAACTAATCCAACATGAGCTTCTATTTCTCCTTCAAAGAAATCAGATCCTTTATCAGTGAATGATCTTGATAACGCATCCGCTATAAAAAGTTCTTTTCCTGGTTTATATTTTATCTCAAACTGATATGGCTGTAATCTTATACGCATTCTTTGTAGTCTTACAGGGCATTTATTTAATGGCTTTTTAAAAATTGATTCCAGTGGTTTATGATCACTTTCCACAGTAATATTTTTCCAAATATATACTGGTGAAATTTCTCACATGCAAATACAATAGCTAAAGTTTCCTTTTCAATTTGAGCATAATTCTTCTGTGTATCTGTTAATGCCTTAGATGCATATGCCACTGGTAAATTATTCTGCAGTAGACTGCTCCTAGTCCTCTTGAGATGCATCTACAGATAAAACTACTGGCATGTTATATCATAATACTGTAAATTGGTTTATTTACCAAGACATCTTTAGTCTTCTAAATGCTTTTTCATGTGTTGCATTCCAGTTCCAGATAACTTGTTTTTTCAACAAATCTCTTAAACATGATGTCAATTCTGATACATTAGGTATAAATCTAGAAACATATGTAATCATTCCTAGGAAAGTTTCTAATTCTTTGATCACATTTTTTGGTGGTTTTTATATCTAGAATAGCGTTAAGTTAATTTTGTCTTCATCTGGTTTTAAACCATCTTTAGAAAATATATGTACCTTATATATTTCACTTCATTCAGCCCAAATTTACATTTATTTAAATTAAATTTAACATTCTTTTCTCTGGCTCTGTCCAACAACGTTCTTTAATCTTAAATCATGTTCTTTTTTATCTTTTCCCCAAACTAGTAAGTCATCTATATATATTTGAACTCTCCTTCTAAATCACTAAAAATTTCAGAAAAACTTCTGTGGACTTCTGGTGATGAGCTCAGTCCATATGGCAACCTCAAAAACAATATCTACCAAACCGGAGTGTTAAATGTAGTTAATTCACAACTTGAATCTGACAGTTTAATTTGCCAAAATGCTTTGTTTGCATCTAAAATACTAAATACCTTTGCATTTGTCATTTGAGATGAAATTTCTTCAAAGGTTGGTATGTGATAATGTTCTCTCAGTATATTTTGGTTTAAGGTGCTGAGGATCTAAACACACTCTTAAATTACCATCCTTTTTCCTTACTACCACTAATGAATTCACGAATTCTGTTGGTTGGTTAACTTTTTTTATAATACCATCTTTTTCCATTCTTGCTAATTCCTTTTTTAATGGATTTAATAAGCTAAGCGGAATTTTCCTACAGGGTTCTATTTTACCAATAGCTCCTGGTTTTAATTTAATATAATATTAATATGATATGTATATCCAGTTAAATTCCCAGTTCCTTTAAACAAATCTTGATATCCTTTAAAAGTTCTGGTAATTTTTCATTAGAATCAGGATTTACTGTACAAATCCTTTGTATTAGGTTTAATTTTTGCAATGTAGGTAAACCTAAAATAGCTGGAACAGTTTTATCACATGCTACAACTTGAAATTCTATTTCATCCTTGTCCCCATTTGATGTTTCACATAATAATTTACATTTTCCAACTACATCAACTGTAGTACCATTGTAATTATTTAAAGTGACTTTTGATTTAGTCAAACATTTCTCTCTTAAATTTAATTGTTTAAATTTAGGCAATGGTAGCACATTACACTGAGCTCCAGTATCCAACTTAACAAATAAATATTTAGATATGTTTACTTTTAGTTTTTCAAACCATTCGGTTTTATTTTTAGAAAATGTATTTGTATCTTCTACTGACCCTAAAATATATTCATTACCATTATTATGTAACATGCTCTAAATTATTCTGTACAACATTAACATTTTTAAAAGTGCACATTTTAGAAAAGTGATTTTTCTTTTTACAGTACAAGCAAATCTTATTATAAGCAGGACAGTTGTATAACTTATGAAAAGTTCCACATTTTCTACATGGTTTTGGATTATTGTACTTATTTCCTTGATAGTTTGAAGAAGATTTAGTACTTTGTTGCTTTTGTTTTACATGAAAGTCTTTCTTACAAGGCTGACTTTTTCCTCTGAAGGTCGAAATTTATTACATTTGATAGCTTCTATTTTATTTTCTTCAGTTAAAGTTTTCAGCTGAAGTTCTGCTAATTCAGAAGCTTTACACATTTTAATACATTTCTCCAATGTTAACTGATCTTCCCTTAATAATCTATCTTTGAGATTTTTATTTAGAATTCCACTTTACTATTCTATCCCTTATTAAACTATCTTTTAATTCTGCAAATCCACAGTTGCTACTTAATTTCTTTAAATCGGTTAAGAAATCATCAAACGATTCACCTACATGTTGTGTTCGACAGAAAAATATATGTCTATCAACACTTTCGCTTTCGGTATGCAAAAATTTTCGAAAGCTTCAATTACTTTGTCAACATCCTTCTTATCTTCTTCACTTAAATTAAAAGTATTAAATTTTTCAAGTGCTTCTTCACCAATTTTATGCAATAAAATAGCTACTTTAATTTCAGGTGATTTAGTAATACCACCAGACGCTAACATATAAATTTGGAATTTTTGTTTCCATTTCTTCCAATTTTCGCTTAAATTTCCTTCGAAACTTAGATTACTTGGTGGCTTTAATCCATCCATATTTAATTTAGGACTTTAAATAGTTTATATATACGTATTTTTAGCCACTTCCAATAAAAATAAACAACTCACTTACCAGCCATGATTTCACAGTAAACAACTTCCCATGATGTTTTTGTTTAGAACATCTTTACCCAGGCTGCATGGTTCTTCAAAAAAGATTTTTTTTAATCAACACCAGCTGCACCATGTGTTGTATTTTATATGTGTTGGGTAGGTGCTCAGTGATGATTCAAGATGTACACAAACATCGTTTATTCTACATTTCTCATCTACTATTCTATAGTTATGGTTAAAGATAATAATAGTTACAGTTACATATATAACAATTTTTGTTGTTTGACTTCTAAATTAATAACCCATTTACTCAATATTAAATGAGCTTGTCCCTGCATTCTGACTTTTCCAGCATAACTTGTCTCTTTATGTTTTTCATGTTGCATTATGCAAAAGAAATACAACAATTTTACTTATAATTCCACTAAAATTACCTAATTCATAACAATATATTACTTTATTTTCAAGAAATATTATTCATATACTTTTAAAAACAAGCTAAGAGTTAGCTTCTTTGTTAGAATATTAGCAGGGTAAACTTACTTACACACACAAGGCTGACTACTAATGATAGTACTTACGTATAAAGCAGAAAAAAATAATACAAATATTAACAATGCTTAAAATTCATTCAACTAAGTGGTTAATATTCCATAATCAGGGCGAGTGCCAAACTTGGTGAGAGTTTTTTATTTGGTTGTGGTTTCAGTATGTTTTCTTGTGGCAAACCTAGACCTTTATTTCGGTAATTGCAGAAGTGCGAATTTAGTGTAACCAGAAGATTTTTTTTTTTAAATTTAATTTTTGAAATACCGTGTTTGTTTTAAAATGTTTTACTGTTTATTATTATTATATATATATGTGTGTGTGTGTGTGTGCTAAATATTTTATTTATATAAATACTTGCAGAAAGTTAAGCTGTTGTTGGTGGGAGAATGTTGGATTTCAGAGGACCTGAAGTTATTAATGTTTTCATTTAATTTAGTTAATTTTTTTAAAAAGTTTTGTTTCTTGCATCTGGCAATCGAAAGACGTAGAATATTTAAAAGTTTTAAAGGAAAAGTGTTTAGTGTGTTGAATTCGAATTTCAGTATGTTGTTTTATCATTTAATCAATTTCATTTACTATTATGTTTGCACATAGTAATTGCTGTTCACCACTGTAAAAAAAAAAATTAAAAAAAAAAAAAAAAAAAAAAAAAAATTGCTATTCTGTTTACATTTAAAACTCACTTCACAGTGTTCTGATCTGATAAGTGTATATATTTATTTACTCAATAATTATTTACAAGAATTAATCATTCTACTCTTTTATGATGAATTACATAGATAGGACGATGTTTTTACTTGTAAAGCTGTTGGGTTTTACTCATCTAGTATTTTATCATCTCATTTTACTATTCTGTTTATATAAAATAACAGCGGCTTTTTTTTTTTTTTATTATTTTATTTTTTTGAAATTTCAAAGTTTAAAATAGTTTGGTGTTAACTTACCCCACTTATGGAAAATTAGCCCACTAATAGGAGGCCTCTTTAATGAAAATTATCATTACTCTTTTCTAGCACTCAAACAATTTTAAATTGTACAGATGATTCTTAAAACAAACTAGTACACTAACCTTGTACAAATATCAAGTTCCATATAATCATCTGTAGAAGCTTTACCCAGCACAGGTTTCAGGTTGAAGGCAGGAGTTTTTACAGTAGATTTAACATTATATGACCATGTAACCTATAAAAATCCACAATAACTCATGTGTATTAATGTATTTACACAACTATTCACTTAAGCAGAAATATGCTATTTAACAGAGATGATTAGTCGACTGGTAGAGCTAAAATACTCAAGGGCTATAATGCTAGTAAGGGAAGTAAATGATTTTCTGGAAGAAAAGCAGAAAAATATTATATATAATGAAAATGTCCATTTAGAAAGGATCTGAACTTAGGTCGAACACAGGAAAACAATGTTTTAACAGAAATCATTCCTTAATAGATAATTACCACTGATGTGAAAAAAGAAAGGGATATATTTCTCACAGTTTAAGAAATCTATAAAAGTGATAGTTGTAAATGAAAATTTTAAGAGTTTTCTACCCTAATGAAAGCAGCAGAGCAATTAATTTTATAATAATATATCGCACTCTAGGCATAACGTTTTACTCACTTGAACTATTCCAACACCAAATCCTTCAGCTCTCAAATTTACAGCTCGTGTGCCTGACGGTAGCTAAAATGAAAAATAATCCATCAATATATAGTTTGTAATCTTAACCCCTTCGAGCCGGGTAGTGAAAACGTGCGCTTATCGTGGAGGCCGGCAGTGTCTTACACGAGCGTCTCTCTAGGGCCGGGAGCTTTTTTGCTACTAAGCCTAAATCCATCAAATTTCCGAAGTATCAACGCATTGTTTAATAATGCTCTATAGAGTATTTTAAACGGCTTATGCTTTATAGATATTTATATATATATACTTTAATTACCTTATTTCTTGTTTAAATGCATATTTTACACATTTTATTTTAATTACTCACCATTTTATGACTTTTAACATTATACATCTGAAAACTAAATATAGTACTTAAAATTCTCTTTTCGTATGAAAAATTTGAAAACAGGGATCTACACACAGTCCTACATTACATTCCTTGCACTCGTAATAACTCATTTGCCATTTTGGAGGATTTTTCCGGGAATGTGAACAAACGAAGCATCGTCGTCTCATTTTCTTATCAGTCTCTTCTGAATAAAGTTTTGGAAAATGTCTTTCAGTTAATCTTTCAGAATCAATATCAGAATATCAAAATTTCAGAATCAATATCTGAAATATTTTGCATCATTTCTGCTATTTCATGCTCCATTAAACATTGTTAAACATTTTCGATGCTTCCACATTGCAACAGTAAAAACAGAAAGAATTCACGTCTAACAAGATCTAATTATTTTCTAAAAACTGAACTGCAAACCAAAATACTCAACGCTTTAGTGCATATAAAACTTCTACTTACCACATGCGAATAAAGTGCGATTTAAAGAGACATCATAAATCACGCCATTCAGAAACATTTAGTTCCCCGTTTGTTTATATAATCAAAAACACGTGTATGTGAGTCATGCTTCTCTCATTTCGAGTAGAAGGTCTAATGTACACTGCTCAAAAAAAAAAAAAATGGGACAGTCCTATATCTCCCGATCTAATGGGCCGATTGACAAAATTCAAATTGCGTTCTTCATGTCTCGAAAGCGCAACTTAGGATATATATTAGATTTATATATAGCACTATTCTAACATAGGTATTTTGACACAAAATCGGACTTTTATCTATTTCGAAAAAAGTCACCATCGTTCCTTTTTTCCAAATAATATTCTTTATATTATATTTTTCATTATAACTTATTATTTTAAGTAATTTTTCTTTTCGAATTTCATTTTAATTGTTTAAGTTGCACATTTTTTATTTATTATTTTTTTTTCGAATAAAAAAAAAAAAAAAAAAAAAAAAAAAAAAAAAAAAAAAAAAAAAAAAAAAAAAAAAAAAAAAAAAAAAAAAAAAAAAAAAAAAAAAAAAAAAAATCTGTTTTAAAAATTTCTATTTACCTATTCGAACTGCATAAATAAAGGTGCAGAGTTTATTTTATTTTTTTTTCAAATAGTTTTCTTTATATTTTAAATATATTTATTAATATCAATTTTCCAGAATTTGATTTTATTTATTTGAACTGCGTTTTTTTCGGAAGAATACTTTGTAACCCAGACTACGATGCGTTTGAAAAACTACATACTATATTAAAAGAGAAAAATACAGTTAAAGCACAGTTTTACACGCCTTTCAATGTTCCGTTCAGAAAAAATATATATAAATAAGAGAGATGTATAACCGATATTTTAACTTAGGATGACTTGCATACACTGCTTTAAACAGTTTTATCATTGTGCCCATTGCTTTACACAATTTTATCCTACATTTGGTTTCTTAAAATGTTATTCATATTTAGTCAAATATTTTATTTTTGAAATCGCAAGAATCAATATCATAAGATTGAAAAGTTTTAAATTTAAAAAATACGAATACTAAATTTTACGAAAAAAATTATTTTTCTTCTCTGTTTCTTTAAGCATTCTGAAAGTATATTGAAAAGTATCCAACTTTTCGAAACATTTTGGTATTTCTGACAATCATTTTAAATAAAGTTATCGCCTTCCATTTCATAAAGGCCCACAAACGGCCGAGCGGTAAAGTTGCTGATGGTGTGGTGTATTTAATTATGGCAAAGCACACGAGGGCTATCTGCCTAAAGGGAGGGATGCCTTTCGTGGAGGACTTTCTAAGGGAAACTGGCTCGTATACACGTTACGCATGGGGAAAACCACGAAAACACCCATGCAGCCAGCCCGTTCGCGGGATTCGAGCCTCAGGCCGAACTACCAGTGTTCATCGTCTTTACCGCTCGGCCGCTGGTGGGCGGTAAAGTTGCTGAACACTGGTAGTTCACTCCGGGGTTCGAACCCCGGTAAACGGGCTGGTTGCATGGGCGTTTTCTTGGATTTTCTCATGTGTACCGCGTATGACAGCTGGTTTCCCTTAGAAAGTTCTTCACGAAGTATTTCGTCAAGAGCCTTTATCAGTCTTTAGAGGCTAAACATTTTGAAGCTATGAGATGAAAGGAAAGACTGGTTTCATCAAAAGGTTTGGTTTATTTTATTATGACAAAGCACACTACGGCTATCTGGCTAAGGGGAGGGATGCCTTCCTGGAGGACTTTCTAAGGGAAACTGGCTCGCATACACCTTACACATGGGGAAAACCACGAAAACGCCCATGCAGCCAGCCCGTTCGCGGGATTCGAACCTCGGACCGAACTACCAGTGTTCAGCGACTTTACCGCTCGGCCGCTAGTTCATCAGGAAGGGAAAAAAACATCTTTAAGTGACATCCACATACATCACTGGATAAACTCCTGAATCTTCAAATAATTCGACTGAGGAAATCATGGGATTCACCATTTATGATACGATATGATGTTCTATAACGTAATTTACACAACCATATAGTTTAAAACCAGTCGCTCTTCATCTTCACTTTAATCTGCAATGATATCATTTTGTCTTTTCTGTTAACACAAGCTCAATTGATGGTATTTGCTGGTGTACTCGTCCAAGTGTTTTCTCTTTGAACACCTAAATTCTTTGAATTATCCTGAAAGTATATTCGAAAGCGTCCAACTTTTTGAACATCTTGGTACGTCTGACAGCCAAATTTCCCTGCAAATTTTTGCTTACTTTTCTCCCTAATTTTCTTCTTTCCTTCCACAGTTATTTTCAGTGCTCACACAAGAAAATTAAGATTTTTTGACTGCTAGACTTCCATACATTTTGAATTCTTGTCAATTTTTTAAAATATCAATTATATGAATTCGTTTCAGCTAAAGACAGCTTTTCATTTTTTAGTCATTTTAGCTATAAATAAAGTTTAAAGCGAAGTCCAAAGGATAAATAATTTAATTAAAAGATTTTTGCTAAATGACAAAGAAATAAAACAGTCCAGCAGGGTTTATTCTGTACCACAGAGTAACCCGATTCTTATATCGGCTGAAACAATCTAAATCATATTAAAGATCATGTTTTTTTATACAATCTATAACGCGAGAGAAAAAAATTAGCTTCTTAAAACATGCTTTCTAAGAGAATTAATATAAAAATTTATATTATATATATATTTTTTAAAGTTGGGACTTGAACCAAACTGTCAGACTTTTAAAGCTTATTTTACATGGTGGTTATTATTAAAGTTCCACTTTGAAATGGTCATAAAAGGAAAACTACCAGACCAAATGTTATCAAACTTGGGAATCGTGTAAAGGAGGTTATGAGAATTTATTTTCGGCGGAAAAAAAAAAAAAAAAGAGTTCAAAAACTCACCATCAGGGGTAAAATGGCGCTGTATACAATATTGTTAAATGAAATAAGACACGAAAACATCTGTTTAAAATGTGTTAAATATTTTCCGAAACGTGTTACAAAGCATGTTCAATGTACCGTCCAGCATTTTCCAAAAGCAAGTTAAATCATGTTACTGCATTCTCAACAGCAGCTCTTAGCATATCAGGTTTGGTTTTGGTTTGGTTTATTAGATTACGGCAAAGCACTCGAGGGCTATCTGCCTTAAGGGAGGGATGCCTTCGTGGAGGACTTTTTAAGGGAAACTCTCGTATACACGTTACACATAGCATATCAGGAGGAATGTTATCAGTGTATCACATTTTTCATTTCTGCCAAATTGTTTAGATTATCACCATAAACAGTGCTTTTGAGATAACCTCCATAGACAAAAGTCACAGAGGTTGAGGTCTGGTGGGAAGAGGGGAAGTGTTGGCCTATATAAGACGTTCATTCGTGAAATGTTGCCTAAGTAACTATGCGAGACACATGTGAGGTGGTGCCCAGCCCTGCATAAAAATCGTAGTATCTAAAATGCCATGTTACTGCAGTTCATGTATCACGAAACATTTTAATATTGACTCTAAGTGAGCTGCAATCGCAGTGGTCCAGCTGTCGACTGCTCTTCAGAGAAAAAATGGTTCAGTTATAAAAAACTAGCTGTCATTCAAGTAAACGGTGTGAAAATGACTGTTATGCAATCGAATGCAGTAGGAGAATGCAATGGAACTAGATAGATAACATGAGGGATTTCTTTGGCCCAAATCGATTAAAGCGTTTTGAATCAGTATCTTCATGTTTTAGTGCCGAATTCAGGCTTAAAAAATTACAAATTAGCGATCTGTAAGAAAACGATTTCCAGATTGTACGCACTTGTGAGAGTGATTTGCGATCTCACATTTTCTAATCGCTAATTCGTGGTTTTCACGGACGAAAATTCTCACTTACAGGGATGGCGCACTCGACATTTTATCGACTTTAACGTCCTTTAAATGATAATTTGCCTTACTTCAAAGTTTCTTAATATACAGGGTATACAACATATTAAACCCGTTTAACAAAAGGTTAAGTTAGATTCCGACCCATATTTCGTTCAACAATATTGCATACAGCGCCATTTCCCCCTGGTGGTGAGGTTTCGAACTTCCTTTTTTTCGCGGAAAATAAATTCCCGTGATGACCTTCCTTTACACGATTTCCAAGTTTGATAACATTTGATCCAGTAGTTTTCCTTTTATGACCGTTTCAATGTGGAACTTTAATTATAACCACTCTGTATATTATTAAATTTTAATTTGAAGCTATGCGTTATATGTATACCATGCGTAAAATTTTTCGCTTTTATGGAAAAATAAAAAATCGAAGCAAATATACTTAGTATAATGGACCAAAACTGAAAACATTTCCCCTCCCTCCGAAAATAAAATATTGAAATTTCGAACTTGAATTTACTGGGTTATCGAAATATTTAATTTGACTTATCTTCTAAGTCCTAGTTCCGACAACAATTCCGTCAAAAATTCCGAATTACTTAAGCTAAAGTAAAAGATTTAGTATATATTCACTGTATGTTAATAAAGTAATCAGAGTGTAATAAAAATAGATTATAGAATTTACGCTGATGTAACTTTTTGTCTGACTGCACAACATGTAATGGAAGAGAAGGTTTGTAGAGATCTGTTTTTGACATGCCTCTAAAAGTAGATGTTCATATTAATTTTGTCTCTTCAATGTCAAAAAACTTTCCTTTGAGAGGCAACTTTAGTTTTTGAGAAAGAAAAAAAATCACAAGAAGACAAATTTGAAGAACATGCAGGACGATTGAATACACATACTTATTTTCCGGAACACAAGCGGTTCTCCGACTGGTTATTGAATAATGAAAAGATGCATTGTCATGCAATACAAACATTTGGAATACGTTTTCTGACTGAATAACGTAAGATTAAAAGTCATCTGCTTAATTCACATTCCATTTACAAGTCAACTACTCGGGCAATTGCAGAATCGTTTTGATCCTGAGCTTGTAAGACAAACCTAATATCACTGGATTTAAACACTTCTTTAATCTTCCGAGAACGTTCCTTCTTTAGCTCATATTCCAAGAATATTAAGTGAATACAATTATTGCCAAAGAAATTGAATATTCATTTGCACTACGGCTTGGTAGTTTACTAACGAGTTAACAAAACTTAAATTCTGCTTTTTGTGTCAAAAGAATACAACAATATTTTAAATATTTACAAATAAAATATTAAATTGGAGATTTAATTGGAGCCTCATCAGTTGCCTAGCATTTGAAAAAGAAAATATTGTTAAATACTAATTGTTTGCTTGCTCAGTCTAACCCAGGCTGCATGGTTGGTTTTCGTAGTTTTTTAGGTTCTCTTTACAAAGGTTCTCTATGAAAGCATCTTAATCAAATAGCTCCCATGTTCTTTCTATGTTCAAATAACCAACTAACCTAGTTTAAGCGCGATTTCCAAGTGAAGTTACTAGTAAAAATCCGAATACTCATTAAAAATCCTGTAGCTAGCCAATCGGGAGTAACATGAAAGATACGGAACCAATAATTTGAAATGTTGTTACGGTACGCTGTTTCTAAACTTAGATGGTCATTCCTTAATTAAATAGCCCACCAACGGCCGAGCGGTAAAGACGCTGAACACTGGTAGTTCGGTCTCGAGGTTAGAATCCGCGAACGGGCTGGCTGCATGGGCGGTTTCCGTGGTTTTCCCCATGTGTAACGTGTATACGAGCCAGTTTCCCTTAGAAAGTCCTCCACGAAGGCATCCCTCCCTTTAGGCAGATAGCCCTCGTGTGCTTTGCCATAATTAAATAATCCAATTCCAATCCAATGCTAATTAAATATAATTGATTTGTAAATTCTACTAGAGCTGACGGTAAGAATTGAAGTGGAAATAAGTAATATGGTGTGCAATCTTGATTAATATAAAATTAAAATATTTGCATAGAAAAATGTTTGCATTCAGACAGAAAGTTTTTTGAAATATTTGCAATTACTTTATAAGAAGGATTTATTAATAACCGTAATAATTACTTATTATATTACTGATGATTAGGATTCAGTTCTTGACAATTACATTCTAAATTAGAATTTTAAGGATATAATGAAAATACGCTACGCACAAAAATACATTTTAGGAAAAAAAATGAGTTGATTTTTTATGTTTTAAAACTTCTTAATTCATTTAGTAAACATCGTATCCTCGTTGTTTATTGAATCCAGAATGTTGGTGTCGTTTATATAATTATTCTTACTTGTCCACAGAATCTGCTGACTTATCCAGCCATTAAGTAGCTGCAGATCATTTCTACATAACCATTGAACTTCCATTAATTCAGTCTCTAGAGGGTTGTATGTTTATATCATAATTTGACTTTTATAAAAAATGATTATTCTAAATGTTATGTTTCTATAAAAATATATTGTGCTTTAAAAATATGGATAATAGTATCAGCCGCTCTTTCAGCCACTTCAAAAGCAACAGTTTGTTTAGAAATAAATTATGCAGTTAATGTCATAAAATTCAAATAAATATCAAACGAAAATTCTCAGTTTTAGACAATTCGATTTAAACGAAGTAAAGTAGCAGACGATAAAACGCCGAAGGTAAAAATTTACTCTTACAAAAGCTTACTCTTAAATTTTTTTAAAAAAAGAAAGATACGAGAGAAATTTTAAAAAATAGTTAAAAATTTGAATAATATCATCTATAATTTAAAAAAATAGCCTTTCATATAGTATTAATAAATATTTATTACGCATCATTGAGGGAAAAAAATGTCATATAATTAATTCTCCGTAAAATTTTACTTGAAGTTTAAGGTTAAAAATAGCTGTGGCAATTCAGTATAACAAAAACCATAGACCACATTTGGCGTTATTATCGCTCAAAAAAAAAGTGCCAAATTTCAAAACGCGAAATGTAAAATTCGTGTATATCTTAGAAAATTTGAGTAAAAAAAAGTCTAAATTTTTTGCAGATATGCTTAAAAAATACACCTACTTTAAGATGATGGTAAAAATTTTATAGGTTATAATTCAAAATTTTTTTCGAAAAAATCTATAGAAATATTTAAAAATAAAAATTTAAAAAATAAAACGCAAAAAATGGGTAAATTTTATTGGAATGAACCAAAATTTCGAAATGTGAGAGAAAAAATAAAAAAAGTTTAATAAAAAAGAGATATTAATAAATATTTGCCAAGATTCATTAACATTGTAGGAGCTAAAATCCCCTTGAGAGCTGAATATTTTAAAAATAATCGTACGCCAAATTTTACAAAACTTGGTAACATTTAGGCATAATTTGAGTCGTAGAATCGAAAATATGAGAAACAATTGGTATGTTATTTCAGAAAAGATCCTATTTTGTGACAAAATTCCTATATTAGAAGAAAGCTATGTATAAATCTAATATATATCCTAAGTCGCACTTTCGAGACATGAAAAACACAATTTGAATTTTGTTCAATTGACCCCAGTAGAACGAGAGATATAGCACTGTCCCATTTTTTTTTTTTTTTGAGCAGTGTACATGTACCTGAAACCATATGGACATACAGTGCCATCTTGTGGCAGAAATTATAGTTTGAAAAACGTTCTAGGATTACGTGACACTCGGTAGTAAACAGGAAAATGCTCTGTCACACCTGCGTGTCTGCCGGGAGGTGAGTGTGTTCATTGCTGGCACGTACATGTGACAGTCGGCGCGAAGGGGTTAAAGAGCAGTATGAACAAACATCTTAAAAAATAAACATATTTGAAAGCCTGGTTATTTCAAATCAATACACTGACACACATGAAAACCAAAAGTTCACACAGAATGCATTTCACAATATGGAATCACTAAATTTTTTATCAGACAAAATTAGCCCATTTTACTGCTGTTAAGTTTTCCAAAGCAATTATCTTTAAAAATATGTTCTGCTTTATTACTTATAATTTGTGGACTTAAAACATTATACTATTCTCAGGAAATAATACCTGGCATTAATTGACATATATTTATTTTGGACTAGCATCCGAAACAGTTTATGTAGCATTAACTACAACTGCCAAAAAACTATTTTGATCCATAAACAATTATACAAATCACAATAAAATTGAAAAACCAAATTACTGGGATCGGCACAAAGTTACCAAGTATGGATAACAGCTTTACCGATTAAACCAGAAGCCCAGATTCGGTCAAATGTCGAAAAATTTACAATATTTAGAAATTTAAGTGGAATTACCGAGATATTTTGCTAAACTTAACAGTGCAGTTACACACATAGTATAATTATTTATGACAAATATTTCCTATTTAATAGCCCATCTCACAACTATTTCTGCTCAAATTATTCCTAACGTCTTTTCAAATACCTCTGAAGAGTTTCTATTAATCTTTTTAAGTCATACTGCAGGCTTTATTAATGGATATGGCATAAAAACCCTCCATGACTCAACATAGGTCTTTAATGTTCAATTATTCTAATATCAAAGCTGAATACAGTCATAGTGTCATTATTAAAATATACAGGTTTGCTTTCAAATCTTGTGATAACAAAATTTAGTATTAAGGTTTCGAGCGAAAAATACTTACAATAACATTTTGCAACACCATTGCATTTTCAGAATTTATGTTCAAGGACTTCTCCATATTACCAAAACTGTAAGTTACATTGATAGAGATTGAAGTGGAAGCTAGCCTGAATCCAAGAGAAGCCAAGGCTTGAATTCCTACAACTGTATCCTAAAATAACACATACAGATTTTGAAAGGGATGAAAATATTATTAATTGAAGAATATATACATACATGTGTGCATGTATAAATTTTAATTATATATAATGAAATAAGAATCTGTAAAATACCTACTGTCATTTCAGCAATCATTTAAATTCACTAGAAAAGTTATTTAACAGAATGTATCAAAAAATGGGAAAAAAAACAATTAAAATATGATTAATAATATTCAACAACTAGAGTTTACTATTAATCAACATTTTTCATTCATGTACACTCCACCCCCCCAAAAAAAAGTTCTATATCTCCCATTTTACTAGGCCAATTGACGAAATTCAACTTGCGTTTTTCATGTCTTGAAAGCGTGATATAAAAGCGGACTTTTTCTGAAATAACATACAAATTTTTTCCATATTTCGATTACATGACTCAAATTATTTCTATATATTAAATTTTGTAATTTTTGGCAAGAAGTTTATGGAGAAATTTAAAAATTTCTCTAGGCGCATTTTTTTTTTTTAGTTTCCGCAAAGAATACTTCCCTTGGCCAACTTTTATAGCCACTTATTTTCCTTTCCTTTTTTCAATTGTACACAAGCGGAAAAAAAGTCAATCGTTCATTCTTTCAAATAACTTTAACATAGTGCGTAAACCACATTTGGTGTTATTATCGCTCATAATCAATATGGCCAACTTTCAAAATGCACTAATAAGTAAATTCACATGTATCTTAAAAAAATTTTGAATAAAAAAAAAAACTAATTTTTTGCAGGTATGCTGAGAAAAACATCTACTTTAAAATGGTGGTAAAAATTCCATAGATTATAATTCAAAATTATTTTATTTAAAAACACAAATTTTAAAAATAAACCATAAAAAATGCGAGAATTTTATTTAGAATGAACCTACATTTTGAAACGTGAAAGGAAGAATCAAATAAGTTTAATAAAAAGAGATATTAATAAATATATACCAAATTAACATCAAGGATCTAAAATTTTGAGACTAATTTTTTAAAAACTAAGTGCGAGATTTTTACAAAACTTGGCACTTTGGCATAATTTGAGTCGCAGAATCGAAATATCGGAAAAAACTTGTTATGTTATTTTCAGAAAAGAGATTCTGTGTCAAAATACCTATATTAGAACAATGCTATATATAAATCTAATATATATCTAAGTCACGCTTTCGAGACATGAAACACACAATTTGAATTTTGTCAAAAGGGCCCATAGAACTGTCCACCTCCCCCCCTCTTTTTTTGGTGCAGTGTACAGGTATAATTGATAACAATATACATAATATAACATAATAATACAATGAGCTAACAGATAAGAAAATGATTAACTATAAAAATGATGTTTTGAAACAAAATGCTAATCATTACTCTTCCTTTCAATTAGCATGTATACTATACTAATAAAAATAAAGTCTGACAGTGCTAGTGAAAAAAAAAAGTCACTACATGTGATTTTTTTTAAACAACTGAAGCTTACCATAACTAGTTAGAAATATTTTATACACAGTGTACGCTTGATTATCTGAGCTAATACCAGAAAAGAATGTCTCAGAGAATAAAAAACACATGGACAATACCAACTATCAATTTGCATGCATATTGCAAGTGTTTCTATATGAAAAAAAATCAGTAATTTTCAGAATTCAGAATGTTTAAATATTCGTTGAATTTTACCGTGCATTTTTCAAAGTGCTATTTTATCACTGTATTATCCTCTTTGGTCAACAAAATCCAATTTTCAATATCATTATCTGCCTCTTCTGTTCATTTCTGTGACATTTTAAACAATATCTGCATCACTCATGCACTGAAAGAGCACCTCAATTGAACCATTCCTCTGTGTTTTTTTAGTGTGAAAAAATTTTCAATTTTCAATTTTTTAGGCGCACAACTTCAGTTATTGCCTTGACTTCTTCACAATCAGGAAGAATCTTTTTCTATGATCACACCTGTGTTATATGTTTCACTTTCGACTAAGATTTTTCCACTCCATACTTCCCACTTTTCCCAGAACATCATTAAATCATAATCTCCCTCAGTAAGAGTTATGAAAAGACCAGAACAATGAAGTTGTACCAAGAATGAAATTACACCTTGGTCCATAGGCTGAATTAAACTGGTAACATTCAGCAGCAAAAATTTTTAGCCATAATTTTACCACCTGTTATTTTTTTACACATTCTCATGAATAGTGCTGAGTGTGTGAGGGGGCACCACCATGTGCAGATAATCAACAGTACACTCGCTGGTATTACAATCTATATTTAGCTAAAAATTCAAGGTCTTCATTATATGCACATACATTTACAGCAATACAAAGTGTAATTTGACGGTAAGTTTCCTCACTGAATTTAATTTTTAATTTAATAATTCCTTATGCCTCACACATACTGAATCCTTTTATCTTACACTGTAATCTATAATACAGGAAATATCATAATACCTGTGTAGAAGAATATCCACCATTTTCATTCTGTTGTGAAATAAGCCATCTCAGAATGGGCAAAGCAGCAGCCACATCACCTCGTACAGAGTAAGTCAGAAGAGCATAAGCTGTCATTTCAACATCCTGAGATTGTGGCCTGTAGTAGGATGCAGTTTCTTCCTGTGGCCGTTTCCAATGTATGGTTTCAACTAAAACATACACAAATTTGATACACTATATGGTTACTACTAAAATATTTTTATGGTTACTACTAAAATATTTTTCATAGATATTATTTTACTTCAATGAAGATTTAACATTACGATAATGGTCCTATACTAATTCAGTTTACTGAAGCCTTTAAAAATTTTGATGATTTAAGAGAGAAACAAATTCACAATGCATACTCATATGAGAACACGGTGGAATACAGTAGTCCATTAGCATAATTTCACATCAAAATCTCAGCCAACAAATGTATTTGAACTGATATTTTACTGTACATACAAAGAGCTGACAGAAATACACTTTTACTATTCCACAATGAACCAAAACATGTTATATGTAGGTAGACAACTGTTTTTCACTGTTGAACATATTTTGTAGAAGAGGCAAAGACTCATATATAGAAAAATATTTGCTAAATTTTTATTGCTGACAATGTTTTACTCAGGGTTGGTAGCCACTTCTTAGTTAAAAAAAATAAGCACATGTTTAATTACATATATATAAGTGCATAATTTTAAATAGAAAATGCAACTTGACTTGTAATTTAAAATATGAGAAATTCGGTATTTATTAAGAGAGAATTAGCATTACTCAATCATGAAAACCATAACAATTATTTTTTAATTTGAAATAACCATTTAATTTTCAGAAATAGTTTAAAATGAGGGAGGGATATACAAAACTAAACTATATTATTACAAGATTTAACAATGAAATTTCAGTCAAAATGAAAAATGATGGAAATCTGAGTTAAATGCAGAAAATAAATAATAATAAAGGGTTTAGTTTAAATATCACGCTGAATAACAATGAAAAAGTCCAACATTAAGAATCGGTGTAAATTTTAAAAAACATTTTGCAGTACTAGTTTTGATAGTTTTTGAACTACTTTCTTCAGCTGCTAAATGCAAATGAACCAAATAAAGGTTGAAAAAAGTTTTTTCACTTAGCAGCTGAAGAAGGTAGTTCAAAAACTATCAAAACTAGTACTGCAAAAAAAATGTTTTAAATTTATGCTGATTCTTAATTTTGATTTTTGAATAATAAAGGGTATTTATTATACTTATTCAAAGTAATTTATAGTGTAAAAAAAAATTTATGCTTATTAATGAATAATAAAATTCGTATGTTCGATTTTTCTTTTGAGTCTTTTCATTAATGTTTGAATCCAGTTCTCTTAATTGAGTTTGTTTTTCACAAATACTTTTTAATAATTTCATTAGACTTTCTTTAAAAGATTAAAATCTACTGTAACTTCAGCCTTTTCAGCACTTCATTTGCTTTATTTTCAGGCATTTTAATATCGCTTTCTAAGAGTTCTTTTTGTTCTTCAGGAGAAATGAATTATCTGTTCATTCTGTTTTTCTTTATATTGAACAATTTTTTCCCCTGCTCTTTCAAATATAATCAATACTTGCGAATAAGTTGATAAAGCTCATCTCTTTCGCAATTGATACATTGTAGATCGCACCGGCATGTACCATGTAACCACAAACCGTGAACATAGCAATGTATGAATTTTCCCCCAGATTTTTGTGTTTCTACATTGTTAATGATACTAAATCCTTGTTTAAAAGGAGCTTGCCCATGGGAAAGAATAAAAATCTTTTTAAATGTTCACAAACTGCAGTACTTTTCATTAATAAATGTGTGCAAATAAGTAACTTTTTTTTAGGGGGGGATCATAGGTTTTAAATCCTGTAATGTATGGCTGGACAACATTTTGGATAAACTCGGAATACTCTCACATTCTTCTTCTGCAATAACATTTTTTGGAAAAATGCATCAATATACTTTTAATTTTCCCGTATGCTTTTGTGCTGTTTTTGCACCATATACTTTAGATCCATAGAAACAGCATTTCAAATTAGTAAATAATTAACTGGACATTTCTCCATCAGATTTTTAAATAAAAGTTTGTGAGTTGCGTTTAAGAGAAAGGTAATCTTTATCCATTATTTTGTTTTCTGTGTATAGTTCTTGCGAGCATGATTCACCATCTGATGCTCCAGATAAGGAAGAAATGTTTATTTAGTTTCACCTTTGATGTGAAAGAAAATGCGTTTAAAAAAAGGGGGGCTAAAAACATAAAAATAGGCACTAAAAATTAAAATTAAGCAATTCAGAGAAATAGTAAGCAACTATAAAAGTTAATGCATAATTTATTTCCAAATATAAGCACTTGTAAAGACCACTATGCACCCTATTTACTGTATAAAATTTGTCTCTTATACTTTATGTATATTATGTAACTTTCACCTTGCATATGATACTCAGTACCATACACAATTTGATATAAGTGCAGATCCTGGAATGTACAGAATGTTAATAGTCATTCTTTTCCCTATAAGACTTATTATGCATATTAAATTACTCCCCATTACTCAATTATCTGATATTATACTACTATGCATACTTTTCCATACAAGACTGATTTTCAAAATTTAAAAATTAGGAAAGGAAATATGTGCAGTTAAAGTAAGGAAGTATAAAATATTCTTTTGGGAATCTATTAAGACAGCATAGTTCCATTATTGCATAACAGTATTTGAAATAGCTATTGATGTACATTTTTTCAAAAAAAGTATCAGTGTACTTGGATAAAGAACATGTTGCTTATGGGATTAAAATTTTATGAAGGTTTACTTGATCTGTGATTAAAAATTTAATTAAGTACAATACAGTAATTTTTTCATTTACTATACTTCTTGGTACACTGAACAAGTATCAAAAGAAGACAGTAGTTCCATAGAAACCAAAGTACTTACCACCTCTTGTGGATAAGCTTAAAAGTTTCTGAAGAGCTGCATCTTTTTCGGGATGTTCGGCCAAATGGAAGGCATAGGTTACTATTGAAACAAAGTATGGATCTTGAGAATCTTTCAATTCTTTTAATAAGAATTTGGTAGCTTTATCCATTTCTTGCCCAAATGTCTTCTGAGCCTACAATTAATTTAATACAGTGATTTTCTAATGTAAGCTTCAATATCGGCATTTAAAGACACTGGTGAATAAACTTAGCAATAAATGCAAAAATTAAACATACTTGATTTTCTAAAAATGCAAGGAGGACATACGCTGTTAAAGCATTCTTGGCACCAGATCCACCCTAAAATTAAACACCTTGATTATGCTATATCTTGACATAACTTGGAAAAAAAATTGCAGTATTTAACAAAGTATATCTAAAGATACATAAACTTCACAAATAAAGAACTGAAAAGACTTATCCATTGACAGACCATACCCCCCCCCCAAAATTGGCTATTTCAGTTTCAATGGTTCTCAGAGAGCCAGTTCCAGCAAAATCTGAAAGCCTCTTATGCACCAACAGTGATAAAAAGTAATTAGATAACAATTAAGTTTTTATGCTACTCTTTTGAAGTACAGTCAAAAGTCGTTAATCCGGACCACAAAGCTACAAACTTTCAGCGCATATGCATTTACGCATGTGCATAATACCTTTATGCATGCACGTTTATGTATAATAGATGGTATAAGCTAAGCTAAAATCATCAAATTATCTATTTCAGTTAATGTCGTAGATTGCGTTGTTTCTTAATCTTCGAATTGGATCCGGCTTATTATTGCAGACTGTTAAGAGCAATTTTATAAAAGTAAGCTTGAACTTTCGATTCTGTCAAAAAGAATTTCCGATTCTGGAGCTGCCAAAGGATCTACAAAGCGAAAGCATGTTTCGATGTCCATCAAACGAAAAGTGGAATTGCTGCATATATCCTTTGTTTTTCTAACCATTCCGAAATCTGTTTATCAATTTCACGCTGCTCTGTGGGGGTGGGAGGGGACATCGCAGCACGCAATTAACTGGAAGTTGATCTGTCAGCACTATCCTTATCTTCAGGGCAGATGTTTTTATTTTATTTGGCTTATAATTCCTTACTAAATGTAATATTTCATCTTGATATACTCCATCTTAGATAATGATTTAATTATTCTGATTATAATTCGCCATTATAAATATCACGAATACACAATCAAATAGTTTTCTGGTTGCAATTTTCTAATTTCGACTATGCGTAATGTATGCTTTATGCATGCGCGTGTTGAAAGAAATGTTTAAAAAAGTAAACAAATAAATATTAAGCTTTTTTTGTAAATTTTGATACCTTTTAGATAATAATTGCTCTTTATTTCATAAATTATGGTTTCATATTTTTAATTTTATGATTTCTGCATGGCATCTTACCAGATTTAAATTGATGATCTATAATCTTGAAAAACCGATAATCCAGAGTCGCCGAAGTCCCGTCGAATCCGGATTAAAGACTTTTGACCGTATATCAATGCCAAAGATGGCACATGATCCAATGCAGAGCAGCAATTTAAAATGAAAACTAACATATATAATCTATACTACTATAAATGACAGATACACTAAACAGCTCCCATTACTAATAATAGAAAAGTGAACAAACACTCTATATTGTTTACATGAGGGAAAGATATAGTAATTATATAAATCTTATAATAAAAATGAAATATCTTCTGTCACTGTGCCTTGTGCACTGCAGAAAATACAAAAGCCTCAAGGGTACATTCAGGATTGATTCTTCGGGTTGTGAAACTCGTATAACTAGTTGATTGAAAATTTAGTTTGTCCCTTCCCCCAGAGAGGATTGCATTGGATTATTCAATTATGGTAAAGCACATGAGGGCTATCTGCCTAAAAAGGGAGGCTTCATTTTTAGGGAAACTGTCATATCCACTAAATAATTAAAGCAAAATTTCATGCTTTGTACCAGTGGATACATTAGAAATAATTTGGTGGTTTTCTAAAATGTCTGCATTTTTCAAATAATTATTTTATATTCTCACATTTTGTTTACGTAATGTGCAAATACTGCACATATAATGTACAACTTTTTTTAGGGTAAATTTCTAATTTATTTTTTCATTTCTGTACATGTTTTGTAATATTTTTATCTTATTTAATGCTTATGAACGATAAACACATTTCTAAAAGGATCTAGTCAGAATATTTCAAAAAGTACCAATATAAGACAGCAACTTCAAAATTTATGAATGGGAACAGAATAGAAGTGTTACGAATGTGAACAGAAACATTCTTTTTTCCAAACATTTATGTAATTTTCCTTTTCGTGATATTTCGTGAATTCGTGATATTTATAATGACAAAAAGAAAGAATTTTAAATTGGAAATACACAATTTTCTTTTCCTCTATGGTCTTTTCTAATATTTAACATAATTGATTTTAAGTTTTCAATATTATTATTTTTCTAATATATCATTTAACATATCAATAAAGGAAATTATCATCATTGAATATTATTGATTGCTTTCATTTTCAGAAGAAATCCGATTTATTAAATATAAAATTCAGGCCTATAAGTAAGTACTATATGAGAACAAAAGTATTTATAAAATTAAATTGCTAAAGAAAATATTTTTAATTACATTTATGCATAAATATATATATATTATGCAAAAAAAGACATTTTTGCATAAAAATATATATTGTCAAAATAAATATATTGTCAAAATAGTTTGAATTTATATCATTCAAACTGCCAGCAAAGATTTAAATCTCAGTAGAAATTATTACTAAATTTAAAATATTAAACAGTGAAATTATACTTAAATTTCAATCCTGAACATTTACTTTTCAATACTTCACATCACCATATATTTTGCTGGCAGGTCAGCTTCAGTAAATCAATATTTAAAGCATTAACACTAAATAATCTTTCCCACTGAAGGCAAGAACTTTTTTTAATCACTTTCTTAGCATTTCAACTGATGTATGGAATTTGTAGCTAACTTCTGAAATTAACAATGCATATTTCACAACGTTAATTTACTGATTCCACAAATGCATTAAATACCTGCATAGCTTTATGATGCACTTCTCCAGGTTCATCAAAAGAACCATCTGGCTTCTGCCTCCTAGATAACCACTCAAGAGCTGCTGTCATAACATTTTCATCCACATCTATGAACTCCTCAGCTTGATGGAAAGATCTCACCACAAAAGCTGTTAGCCTTTAAAAGAAAGATTATACATAAATTTCAAATACAATGTTAAATATGAATTTTTAACACTCTGTTGGGTGCATTTGATCTGCTAGGCACACCTCGAGCTCTTTGGTTTGCCCAACCTCCTTCAAAGTTCTCCATCCAGCTGGCTTCCTCTTTTCTAGTGCCACTGGCAATCTTAACCCTTTCAGGTTGGGTGTCCCATATACGCATTCCCTAAGAATGTCTCTTACAACCAGGCGTCCCATCCATACATCACTAGAGATTTCATTCAGAAGACGGGTGATGCGTATATGCATTTTAAGCTGGAACGTTTTTCTGAAAACCACTACATGGCATCCTATGTCCATTACTTTTGAAATGTACACTGTTTTAGGTTCCTGACCTTTAGTTTGATATATTCTGCCTGACTTTGGTATTTTACTCATCAACTGTTGCAAGGGGGAACGTAAACAGAGGTAGGCTCTTTAAATCCTCGCATGCTAATATAAACATCTGTATATCTAATTTATATCCAATTCCTTTTTTTATTCTACGAGTATTTTTTCCTATACTGTGTATGGTCTTTTAGGGTTGCAATGTGGAGTTCTGTTACATTTTGCATTGCCTTCAGATATATTTCAGTTTCTTCGCTTTTTATTTCGGAAACCTCACTTCTAGTCTATTATGGCGGGAAGCTGCTATTTATCAGAGGAAGAATACCCTCTTATGGTTAATGAACCATTTACTAACACAGATGAGAGTGATTTCATTTTAAAAGTTAGAAAGCAATACTTTTTTCAAGAGTTAAAAGTGATAAGAGTCTTCGAGATTTACCACGCTCAGTCTTCATTTTTAATTTTGTTACTTCTTACTGTAAATAGTCTTTATTGTATTGTTTTATTAATTTTAAACTTTATTGATGGATTTTATCAATATAAACTTAAATTTGGAATAATTTGAATAGCACTTCCGAAAATTATTTTACAAGATAAGCAATTTTTCAAGTATATTTTCATGTAAAATAAAGAAAAAAGATTATGAAGTGCTAATTTTAACAAATATAAGATCTTAAGAATTAATCTAAAATGATACCAAAAATTATGATGCTAGAAGTGAAACTTTTTTTTTTCTGATTTTTTAAAATAAAATTAGGCTTAGCGATGTAAAACCCCCGTCCTGTACGGTGACTGCCTTCAATTCTCTTCAGTCCCGCACGAGTGTCTTAAACAAAGGTGCGCTGTCGCAAAAGGATTAAGTCTGTCAATATATTTTCTCCTTTCCAGTTGGCAAATGAAACGATCTAACAGGCTCACTGCACCCAATTACGTTGCAATTAGACAAGTTTTCTACGATTTTTAATAATGTATCACATTTTTTGCTTAGCAATTTTGTATTTTAAAAATTTTGATTTGGGAAACCCTCAAGACCTTGAAGAAATTTGCCATTTCAATGAGGAAGTTAATGATAAAGACTTTGGTGTCAAAAGCAATATTGATTCAGAAGATGGTGTAGAGGGACAAGAAGAAATATCAGAGACAGAATAAGGCTTAGCAAAGAAGACAAAATTGAAGAAAATACTCCTTTTATTTGGGGAAAGATCAAATGGTATAAGAATCCCCGACAAAGCAGGGTTTGATGGGGATGTCATAACATTATTACTCAATCACCTGGAGTTATTTGAGCTGCAAAGCCAAAAAAAAACTCCTGTTGAATGCTGGAATTTCATGTTTACAGATGATATCCTGAATAACGCAGCGAAGTATATCAATCAGTATATCGATACCATCAGAGGATTATTTTCCAGAGAACGGAATGGTAAACATACAGATTTAGTTAAATTATGAGTATTCATAGGATTCCTCAACCTAGCTGGTGTTTACAAGGCAAATAAACTACTCTTCAAGGAACTATTGGGGGGGATATGATAGTGTGATAATATGCACACCTCTGACAAACATTTGCTTAATTAGAACTTCCTGTTTGTCCAGAGACTTATCGTCAGTCAAAAGTTTGAGAAAATGAGTTACAGAAAACCCCTGGTGCGGGTTCCAGATACAAAGGGTGTAGTAAATGACCCCCCCCCTCCTAAGGCATTTCCGAAAAAATGTTTAACAAAAAGGAAAGAGAGGGGCTTTTGTGTAAGAATTTTATGCAGTGAGCGAACTTGAGAAAAGACGCAACCAGCATCATAAGCTGCATCCAGCGGCCATTGTTTTATATTTGGCTGTAATGTTTTGATTGTTTTACTTAGGATTATTCAAGAAATTATTATTAAGTTTTAAAATAAATATTTGAAAGACAACTGCTCTTTTCCTTTCATCCACCACGGGTGTTCAGACGTTACAACAGCTACACTAAATTTAACCTTGTTATGAGCATCAAGAGATTCAAGTTTCTAATCTGGTGCCTCCATTTTAATATCCGTGAAAAAAGATGTGCGAGAAAAGAACTGGATTGACATTCATCCCAAAATGAGATGTATTAGAAAATTTTGTGCACAACTTCCCAATTGTGCTTCTGTATTGGTGAAAACGTCATGGTAGACAACTTGTTGCCTGCTTTCCCTGGTAACTGTCCTTTCAGACAATACATCCCGTCTAAACTAAGTAAATATGGAATAAAAATTTTCTTCCTTGTAGATGCCAAAATATTCTACTCTTTTAATTTGGAAGTTAACATGGGAAAGCAAATTGAAGCAAAAAAGCACCTGATATGGTAAAAAGGTTGGCAGAACCTTTGTTCGGTTATGGAAGAAACATAACAGGTTACAACTGGTCTACACAAGTGAGTGTTCTGAATGAACTAAAACAGAAAAAAACTATCATATATAGGCACAAACAGAAAAAAAAACTGAACAGAGCTACCAAAAGAATTCACTGCTACTAAAGCCAGATTACAACACTGCAGTAATTTTAGCTTCAGTAATATTAATAACGTTTTGGTATCCTACATTCCAAGAAAAAGCAAAAACGTCCTTGTATCATCACTGGATGATGACCAAACTATTGATCTTTCTACTGGCGAAAAATATACACCAGAAATAATCAGTTCCTACAATGAAACCAAGTTAGGAATGGTTATTATAGATAAAATTTGCAGTTCGTATAACATGTCTTGGAATATTAAACAGTGGCCCATGATAATCCTTTTTTTTTAACAATGTTAAACATTGTTCTGATCAATTCTCATATCAAACATGTGGGTTATAGGTATGTAGCTCTGAAAAGAAAATTGTTTATAAAACAACTGTTTAATGAACTTGTGCTGAGACAACTTGCTCAACAAAGTCTGAAGTCTACTGGGTGCCAGTACACTTACAACAAATATTAAGAGATTCACTACCAGTCATGAACATCAAAATTATGATACCTCTAAAAATTGAAGACTCATAATAGAAAATTAAGCCAATATGAGTGCAAAACTTGTCATACTGCTACCTGCCTCACACATGCTGTTTTCATGTATCCTCAGTACTATAAGAGAGAAGTTAAAAGGAGAGATATCTTCTAATGAATCAGATGAATGGGAGTTTATACTTATGTTCTAACTATAATTAAATTTAAATCTATAAATGATCTAAAAATTATTTTACAAAATTTGTTTAGTATCAATAAATGTTTCCTTTTAAAACTTTAAAAACTAGTTTTAGTGCCCCCTTGGTATTTTTATAACTTTTAGAAGTTTAATAATAATAGATAGCAACTGATTTTTGTAGGGAAAAAAACTCTATATATACAAAAGTTTTAGTAAATCAAGAATCACCTGTCAGGTTGAATGTGCCCGACCATGTTCCGAACATATTGTACCCAATGGAGTGTTAAATAAAAAGACATTTTAAAACAGGTTCAAGACTGCTTGGTATAAAACAGCCCTTTTACACAGGATTCATGTTTTATAATTTTCGAACACCATAAATATAAATTGTAATGAAGATATAATAAATGAAAATATGACATTTTAGGTATTTAATTTTTAAAATGCTTCAAAAACTAACATTCATTTAACTTTTTAAGGTAAGATAAAAAAAAAAAAAAAAGAGTAATGAATACTTAAAGGGGGTTTTGGTGTTCTTTGTGTCTGTATATATACAATGAATCAATGTTTTAATAATACAGAAACTTAAAGATGCAATACAACATTTTAGAAGTAGCAGAACGACTGCCATTGACTTTATTCTTCACATATGATTTTTTTAAACACGCTGCTCTATACCATACCTGTTCGCAAAATTATTCAAAACAACAAAATTTTCATATTGAGGACAACTTTTTTTTTTTTTTTTTTTAGCATTTCAATTGATGTATGAATTTGTAGTTTCTTGTACGGGAAATTTTATAAATTTCTGCTTTCTACACAAATTCAGACTAAGTAGTAGTAGTAGCTCGTACTATTCCCAATTTAAAAGGTTACAAGACTTCTTATGTATGCATGTGATGTTGTAGTTTTCGCGGAAGATGAAATCAATTCACTCTTTAGTCATGGCCATGAAGACTGTGGTGCAGATGACGACTAGAGCAAAAATCACAACTAGCTTCATGATTAAAACACTTCTATTTTGCACAGGAACAATTATTCAGAAATACATTCTTGTTTAAAACCAATGCTAAATGCATCCCTCAATTACCACATACACAGTTTACATTTTCGATAATAAAGAAAGACGGCGAAGTAAGAGATGTAACTTATTCAAGCAACAGCAGGTGAGAAAAAGCAATGCATACTAACTTTGGCCATATTTAGAGTCCGAAAGTCTTCATGTTAATCCTGAGCAGTGATTGGGCAGAAGTTTACTGCAATGTAGATACTGCAGGGTAACATGTTACAGTGACGAAAAATGATACAAAGTGTATCTTTGAAGCAGGGATGTGTTTAATTAAATTATATGAATTTGAAAGTATATGGCAAGTTAGTTCCAATTAAATTTAATAATTTTGTTTCATATTTTATATTTTACATTTATATAAAATATTTAAAAAAAGAAGAGGACAATACAGGGCTGCAAGCTAAAATCTGCAGACATCAGTACTTGTCTTTGGCCACTAACCTTAAGAACAATTCACAATGCATTTAACATATTAATACTCGTTATAATTAATTTCAAGTTAAATATCAAAGTAAAATTATTTCATAATAATTTTCAGTGAAGCAATGATTTGTCAGTGTGTCTTAGTTTGAATCAGCGCCAGTGCCAAATGATAAAGGCAACTGACTGACTGTCAAGGGAGTCTATGGCAATGACTCAGATGTGAGGCATCCATTTCCTTACACAAAATGGCATACAAATTGGGGTTTGAATAGGGTTCATTTGATGCAGATGTTTTAAAAGGCAAGCTCGGCCAGTAGCAAGATGAAAGATAGCAACAGATGTCTTTCTGGGCCATAAAGGAGTATAAAAAATTCTGTTAATCCATAATTTATGACAGTTTCTTTTGGTAACATCTTTCAAAAATGCTTCTGAGTAGCCATTTCATCAATCTTTCAGCACTGTAGAAAGAGATGGTGCCAGTTGCCTGGAAAATATTGCCTCATTTCTTTGCCTTATCATTTCCATGAAGGCTGCAGTGTAATGGTATCCACTGCATGGCAATTTCTTTGCCCTCTGAAGCTTAACTGTTTAGAAGCTGCTGATATTTTAAAACATCAACAGACATTGGTGATTCAAAAGAACAGATGGCTAGAAGAGCAGCTTTAGAATCAGTGAGCATGACAACCTTTGAAAAACGTTCAAGTTCACACTAGAGTTGGGCTAAGGCTTCTTGTATCAGTTGGACATTATGGTTTCACAAAATTTTGAGCTTTAGATATAAGGCCTAACTGATCTCTGACGGAAAAGACTGCCCAAGAAAACCATAAAACCATTCCGAGTTTTACGTTTTCTCTCTGTCAACAAAGGCAATAGTTTCACAGGGAAAAGCAGTCTCAGTTCCTTTAAAATAGTGTTCTCTCCTCAATAATTATTTAATGCACATATGGTGTGTCGCTAGTAAAAGTGCATCAAATGAAGTAGTTTTAATTGCACTCCAGTGATAAGTCACTGGTAATGTTTTTTGGTATTAGGCAAGTTATTTTTTTAGAAGTAACACTTGCAAAAATATTTGTATCAACACTGATTCAGTTGAATTCCTCATGCATCATATAATTAAGGTTTATGATTTTTATACAACGATAAACTTCTCTGCAGTTCTTCAGTATCAACCAAACTAAAAAAGCATATTTGAACTAGTATTAAAACATATTTTGCAAGTTTTTCCTAAAAATTATTGAAATTTGGATCTAATGATTATGCTGTTCCTATTTACTGTAATTTAAACTGCACCTGCACAATTCTTCTAAGTATTTTAGTTCTCATCTTTCTCCCTTTAAAATTTTGTTTTACCCACTAGCTCTCAAATACATATTTTGTTTGTAAGCATTGCACATTATCATTCTTCTAACAATAAAGACACAAATAAAATGGTATTTTTCAATTCTGCTGTGTCACAGAAATCTCAGTGCCACGGATTCACATTTCACAGCAAGAGTTGTAAATTTACATATGTACTAATTTTATATTACAACCACAATTCTTTTCATCTATCTACAGAATAGATACAAGAAACAGTAAAAAATGTCCATAGCAGAGCCTTTATGAGCATTACAGGTTAAAAATTTCAAAATATAAAGAAATAAGAAATATATTTAATAACTTTAAATTTCTACTTATTAAATTTCACAGTCAGCTAATATAAACAGGAAACTGAAACAACACCAAATGAAAAAAATTAAATTTGACATTCAGATATAAACAGTGCACTAATCAACATACCAGGTACTGCCATTTTTATCATTGTTTCCAAAAGCACTAAATGAACCATCATTTCTTCTGTATGTCAGTTCTCTCTGATAACCTGAAAGGTGCAAGAACGTATGAAAAGCAAATCTAATCAGCAACGTTAACTCAAATAGTCTGAAAGATCCAACTGCATAAATGCAGACAAAATATGTCAGCAAAAGTGGGTTTGATCATGATGAAGAATGGGAAAATATGTTAAAATTACATGAAAATTTACAGAAGCACATATGAAAATATGATAAAGCTTCATTAAAATTTTAGATAAATAAAATTCTAAAGTTACCTTTTAAGAGAAAAAAAAGGGGGTAATAGTACAACACAATCACACATTATTTCTAAACAAACAATTTTTAACTTAAAACAAGAACTGTTTTAATAATATACTTCATGAGTATGCATAAAAAAATTAAATGTTAGAAATGAATATTTTATCCACTGAAACTTTAAATTCAAAATAAATGAATAAATAACTAAAATTAGTTTAATGAAAAATATTTCATAATGAGCCAACCGCAACACATTCTTAAACCCAGAAATTCCGTTTTTTTACTATCAACATTTGCTAATGCTTCTGGTTCAAAAACACATTTTATATATTGAAAATGGTCATTACAAATTAGATTTATTATACGAGGGCTATCCAGAAAGTAGATTACGTTTTGGAATAAAAAAATAAACAAAGTATAGGAAACAAATTTTATTATATACAGATGAAAGCCACACTCAAATACTACTTTTCTACATAGTCACCATACAAATTAAGGCATTTATCGTAGCGATGTACGAGCTTGGAAATTCCTTCGTCGAAAAATTCGGCCGCCTGCGCCTTCAACCACTTCGTTACCTCTTCTTGCAGCTGTGCGTCGTCATCAAAACGCTGCATAGCCAGCCACTTCTTCATTGCTGGGAATAGGTGGAAGTCGCTCGGTGCCAGGTCGGGACTGTACGGCGGATGAGGAAACAACTCCCACTTAAAAGATTCAAGAACTTTACGAGTGACATTTGCCGTGTGGGGCCGGGCGTTGTCGTGAATCAACAAGATCTTAGAGCTCAACATTCCTCTGCGCTTGTTTTGAATTGCTCTTCTGAGTTTTTGGAGAGTTTGGCAATACCTTTGAGAGTTTATTGTAGTGCCTCTTTCCAGGAAGTCCACCAAAATTACACCTTTTCTGTCCCAAAAAACAGTCGCCATCATCTTCCTTGCCGACATTGTTTGCATGCATTTCTTGGGTTTTTGGGGAGAACTTGTGTGCCCCCACTGCATTGATTGCAATTTCGTTTCACAGTTCACATGTTTCACCCATGTTTCGTCACCAGTAACGATGCGATCGAGTAAAGAGTCACCATCCTTATGGTAAGCGTCCAAAAAGTTCAACGCTGCAGCCATTCGCTGATTTTTGTGGTCCTCTGTCAAGATTTTTGGAATCCATCTTGCACAAAACTTGTGGTAACCAAGCTTTTCGCTGATGATTTCGTGCAACAAACTTCGCGAAATTTGTGGAAAACTCAAAGAAAGTTCCGTTATTGTGAAATTTCGATTTTCACGGACTTTAGCATCGACTTTTTCGAGAAGTTCGGCGGTCACTATGCTGGGTCTCCCACTTCGATCTTCGTCGTGAACATTGGTTCGGCCATTTTGAAATCTTATGACCCACTGACGCACTCCACCTTCAGTGATAATGTTGTCCCCATACACTTCACGAAGCTGCCGATAGATTTCTATCGGTTTACAGTTTTTTGCAGTCAGAAACCTTATTACTGAGCGCACCTCGCGGGATTTTCAATTAACGCAGACATTTCAAACCGTCACAGTATCTGAACGGAGCACAGCACGAACCTCTCACTAGCACGGCTAGATGCAGACTGAGCTGCGCAACGCTCTGACCCCAAGATGGCCGCGCCAGCCCCGCCCCTAGCGGACACAGACGGAAACGTAATCTACTTCCTGGATGGCCCTCGTATTTTACTTTCTCTAAAGATTTCATACATACCACTTTGCATGAAGTTCAGAGATTTCTTCTGGATAGCCGGTGTAAGCCTATTTACTCTCTGCAAATACTTTGTAATTACGATGTTTGGTACAAAATTCAACATGTTTTGTTCTCCACAACCTTGTGGCATCCGTAACAATTTATCTAAGTTATTCACTGTAGGACCAAGTAAATCACCTAAAAGTGTCAAATTACACTGCTTAATATATTAGTAAAAAATTGAAAAGTATAATTAAAAGTATCACCTTGAGAAAGAAAATGGGAACAAACAACACACAGAGAATATACATGTAACAGATACTTTGCATGACAATGAGTAGTTTAAATTATGTTTCTCAAAAAGTGTGTAGCCCAAAGAATGTGAATTACTAACTTTTCAGCTTTGAGGCATGATTTCAAATAGATATATTATGAATATTTAGTGTAATAGCTTATGACAAATTGTATAACATAAGAAAGGGGGGAATAAATTTCACAAATAAGCAGTACAAAAAAAAATTAGTTTCATGAAATATTACTGCTGTACATATAAATCTGCATAATATGCAATTCATGCTCTGAAATCTACTACACCGTTAATTAAAAACTATAATTTATGTAAATACTTAACACATATGATATTAACTACAAATTAAAAATGAATCCAAATTCTATTAGGAATACAAATAAGTCTCTGCAATTAAAAAAAAAATGGAGTCACTAGTAAGGTACAGTTTAAATTATCTGATTGTACCATATTTTACTTCTTTAATTTGAAGAAATCTGCAGCTGAAGCGCATTAGTTGCTTGTAGTGAGGCTGCGTCAAGTGACAGAAATTGTTGTAAGTGGTTTCAAAAATTTAAGAATGGTGAATTTGACATCGAAGACAAACAACAGAGCGAGGATGAAAGTGTGTGAAGATGTGGAATTGGACGTATTAGTGTAGAAAATCCTTGCTAAATGCAAGCAGAAATTGGCTTACATTAGGTGCGACTCAATAAGAATCAAATTCTAATAAATGACATCCTTCCAAAACTTTGGAAAGAACATAGTAAATAGATATTGCAAAAATGCTAGGCTAAAATGAAAATTCATTTATAAAAATATATATCAACATGCATATCTATGCACAAATATATGTGCTACGTTTGTTGCAAAAATTATTAAGTTTTAGGTATGTTGTCTGAGTTAAAACATAAAACTAATCTTTAATGCATATTTCTCTATAGTTACTTTATGATATATATTAATTAATGTCTCTACTTTAAAACATATATTGCAAATATCAATATACGTACTAATTAAAGTTCATGAAGACCAAAAAAAAAAAACTTTAGGATAATGGAAAGAAAAATATTACTCTCGATTAATTGATTATTTACAGCCACTAAGTCACCTAAAACTACTTCACTTTTCATTTGACATGAAAAGTACAATTAAAAATTTAAAACAAAGACTTACCTATGGCTGATAACTGGACACTTGTTGAGCCAGGAACAGCCTCCTCTGGCACTGGAATAGCAACAGATTCTTTGACCACATTTGCACTTGGATTTCTCAGATCCATTAAAATAGCTTTGTTGAAAAACTGTGGAGCTCCTTCAGGCTATAAATAAATTCCAATATAAGAGTTTAACAACTTAATATAAAAGTTATTTAAAATCTTGTGCTTTTCCAATAAAAGCATTTATCTTCAGATATTACATTGCATTGCCTTGAAATATTTAATTAAAGTAAAGTTATAATTTAACTAATCTTTTGAGCAGAAAATAGTGTGCATGTATTCAGTTATGACAAAGCACACGAGGGCTATCCGCCTAAGGGGAAGGATGCCTTCGTGGGGAACTTTCTAAGGGAAACTGGCTTGTATACATGTTACACATGGGGAAAACCATGAAAATGCCCATGGCGCCAGCCCATTTGCTGGGATTCGAACTACCAGTGTTCAGCGACTTTACCGCTCGGCTGCTCTTCAGCCTTCAGAAAAATAGTATAAATAGACAGGTGGCCACACAAAGGCTTCAGAAATTTTCTTTGATAATATTGTTATTTCAGTTTATATATAGTCTTAAATAATATTGTTATTTCAGTTTATATATATAGTCTTAAATAATATTGTTATTTCAGTTTATATACAGTCTTAAATAATTAGATAGTGATGAAAAAAAAAAAAATATCTGCTACAAAATTTAATTTATATGCCCTTTTGAATTTGAAACCAATTTTTTAAAAAAGGATTTATATACTTTGCATCTTCCAAGATTTTGTAATCCAAGAATATTCTTTCAACATGAAAATGAATATTCAGAGAGCTGGCATAGTTTATTGTCCACAGTGTAAGATTTGCAAAATATTAGATACTTAACATTTAATTTTTTAAGTTTTGCTCGAAAATCAAACTCCCCTCAAATGTCTTTTTTAAACATATTTATAGATTTTATAATACTTTCTTTACATCTAACAATTTAATACACAGTGTGCATGATAAAAATTTCAAGTTTGTAGTTCATGAACAGAATAAATCCAGTGTACGAATATCTAACATATATCATAGCTATCAACGTTGAAAACCAGGTTTCCAAGTTACGTAGCAACAACATTTCACAGGAACTCTAAACTGAATAAAAAATTCGCTTCATAATGCACGAATTCAGGTTACTGAGCTATTTGCAATACAATTCAGATGTAAAATATAAGAGCATTTAATTAGGTATTCTAAATTTCATGTTTGGCTAATTATATTTTTTAATTTTCATACACTTATGCTGGAAAAATCCTGAATGATGAAGTTGCTTTTATTTATCAAAGTATTTTTTTAATAAAATGAAAATAAAACTAATAATATGCTTCCATTTTTGAGGTCACTGTCCCATTTCCAAAGGAAATCAGTAAAAGATACGATTTGTCACCCATGAGTTCTCATTGTTAAGTTCGAAATGAATTCTTTCAAACATGACGGTTTTCTGCTTTCGTCAAATAACCAGAGCCATCTTAATTGTCGAGTCCATGTTGCCCATTAATAAAACAGTAACTTAGTCCTTCAGTTTCTTAAAATAATCGCTGTTTCGCTTTTAAATATTAATGCATGTTGCAGTACAGCTTAATAAAGCAGTCCAGTTTCACGTGTATTATAAATTTCAAGTGGCTTGTATTCATTTCACAGCCCAAGTAAAATGATTTTATCCAGTTATCAACAGCATTATGATACAATTTCTGATGTCAGATTACTCTTCCTCCAAATTGTGAGCAGTGTGTCAGTCGTTATAAAATTTTCTAATCATTAAGCAAATAAGTAAACAAAAAAAGCTCTAGAAATAAAAGCACCTTTCAGCTTGAAACCATTCTAGCTAATCATCATTCTAGATTTTCGGTCCTTTTTGCGCTTCCTTGAAATATCTACCTTTTTTATATATATATATATATAATTCCTTGTTTAATAAACTGCACAGTGCTGTTGGTGAAATTCCTGTCTAAATGTAATTTTTCTCTGGATTCAATTGTCAAGAAAATTAGTCTTTTAACAATTTATCCTTTACTTTCAGACTTAAGCTGTTTGCCATTTCGATGAGTTCCAAGTTAAGCACACAAATTTTAATAAATGCTTCTCCAGAAATTCAAGTTCTGAAATTTATGTTTCTAGCAAACAAAAAGATTGCCCTCTACCTGTTTAGTTTATCTGTCACTTGATGATTACAAGCATGACCAACGCTTTTGCACTATTTCTTTAGTCTACAGAAGTTGCACTTTTCCCTAGTCGAGTAGGAAACCTCACTCATTTACAATGAATTTAGAGAATTCTTTTTGTTAACCTTAAGATAAGAAAATTCGGTACTTACGTATTAACGCAACCAGGCCAAAATTCGCATAAATCGCCAAATTTGGCGACCCTACTTACGGCAACCCTACGTGTTATACGTAATTTTTCGTGAAGAAATCAACGCGTTTTTCAGAATGGCACATACACAGTAACCATGTACACGTCGACCTATTTTCACTTAAAAAAACATCCCGGAATTGCACAAAAATGGCATTGCGTGCATTCGACTTTATCCATACACACTGCTTTTTTCTCATAAATTAGAAAAATTTGCAGGAAAATGCAGGAAAATTTTGTGAATATTTAAAGTCGGTAAAAAGATTGTGAAAAAGTATATACCCTTTCCAAGGATGAACATTTGCATGTTTAAAGTAAAGGAATACAAGAAAAGAATACAAAATACTGGAAAGGATACAATACAAGTGAGTTCGAAAATGCTGGATTTCTGCATGGAACTGTTAATCGCATATAACTTTGTGGATCCCAACACGGGCGTTCACACACAACATGTAGAGCGCATGTGGGGCTCAGCCAAATGGCGCAACAAAAATACAGAGTGGAACAGCCCGTCATCATCTTGACTCGTACCTTATCGAATTTATATGGCGCCAAGCTCAAGCTGTTAATGGCGAAGACGGTTTTCAATCAGTGCTAAAAGCAATAGCCAAAAGATTTCCGCTGAAAAAATAATTCTGCAACTTATTCAAATTCGAAACCGGAAGGGTTTAATTGCTATTTTATATTTTAAAACAAAATATAAAAAACTGTATTAAAAATTATCTGTAATTAATAAATGTACATTTTCTTTCTATTCATACTTTTTTACTCAAACTTACAAATCGCGCCAACCTGGTTGCGATAATACGTAAGTACCGAAAATTCTGCTGCTTTGAAGTCCACTGTAGAAAAAGAACTCTAAAAACAGTGTCTTACAGGTACCGAAATGGATGACTTACGAAAAGGTTTGATTGGCACAAGTAGGATATTTTGGTTTTAAAAAACCAGTCCTGCTAATATAAGTGTAATAAGCAGCAGAGATGAGTATCTTCTTTTCTACTTCCCAGTAACTTGAATCTTGCCTGTTCTTATTGTTGTCTCTGCTACTCTTTAGGCCTCAAATCATCCATAAATCATTACAGAAGGTCAGCATACTCAGCTATTTATGTTTGCTTTATTGTTTAGTTGGTTGTATTAAACAATTAGAACAGAAAAATTCAGCATTATCTTTGCAGATAGTTTCCAAGAGTTTTCTTTGTTAGTAAGACCAAAAACATTCACTACGTAGACGAATTTATTTTAAAATTTAGGAGAGCTCATTCACTGAACAAACTGAGGAAGGGGGAAATTTCATGAATAATTTTAGTATTTTCAGGACCTGGTACGGAAAAGCTAAGTGAGGAAATAAAAATACCAATTGATTAAACATTGCTTGAATCTTCATGTGAAAATCTACAAATGTCAAAAGGATATTAAAACAATTCAGTTCAAATGAAATTCAAAAAGAAAAATTAACAAGATCAGCAAAATATAATAAAAACTAAAATTCAGATGGAAAAAATAAGAAATTATTCTGAAAATCACTTGAGGTGAGAAATGGAATTTCTCTAGTTTAACCCTTTAATGTTGAAAATATATAAAACATTTTTTGGGTGCATATACAGTGAAATACGTTTAAGGCACAAGCACTTAAGAAGAAATATCGGTTAACACGAAATAACCCAACAGTCCCAACAAAATGCTATGTATTTTCATGCATTTTTTTTCCCCTTTAACACGAAACAAAAAGATTTCCCTTTTGAAAATGAACAAAATACGGAAAACACCAGCCTCGCGGGCAAGATTTAAGAGGGGTATGTAATGAAAGAGAGGTGGTTTTGCATGTTTCGTAGACAGAAGACTAACTTGGCACATAACTTGGTGTATAACACATAACTTGGCTTTGAAATACCCTCAGAATAGCCTGTGACACTAGCCAATTTTGTTTATCTAAGCTACTTTCACCCTCCACCCTTTACAAACACCCCACAAAAACATCTCATCTCTCACGAGTTGGCTTTGAAATTCGGTGAGGAGTACATCGCGGTGTGTTTAAAAATCAGTGACTTCGAGCCAAAAGAAATGGAGAAGGAGGATACTGAAATTCAGCCAACTCTTAATGAAATTTTTGACGAAGTTTCTGTATTAATGAAATGTCTTACTGTATCATCGGAAGAATTCGCTGCAGAAGAAGATGATAATGTGTGTATAGCCCCAATTATGGCAGACAAAGACAGTTTGGAGTTTGTTCAAAGCTAAAAAAAATATCACTGATGCATATTCCGATGACGAAAATGAAATGAATAATGCAGCTCCTGTTCCCACACCATCCGAAATGAGGAACATCATGAAAAGTATGCGCAGTTATTTAGATGCACATTACAATGGACGACATCGAACAATTTGTTGACATTTTGATGCTAAAAAGACAATGCAAAAAAAAATATCAAATTATTTTCTAAAAACTCAATATATGTTTTGTTTTTCAAAAACTTGAAAATTTTGTATTAAGTTCTCGTGGATGATTTTGTTTCATTGATTTTTATTAAATATATGCATATCTATGTAAATAAAATGTACTCTAATAAACATAATTTTGTTTAATATAATTTTTTTTGGGGGGGAGGGGGGCAATATCTTTTAACATGAAAAAATATTTCAATCCCCTTAGTTTCGTGTTAAACGATTTTCACAGTACTAAATAAGTAGAATATGTATAATATACTATTTATGTCTATCTGCCTTACAGCTTGATGTTGAACAGCAGCAACAATGCCAAATAACAGTCATTTGGAGTTATAGATCTCCCATAAAAGCCAATGAAAACACGTTCCTCTTATGCAACCAAGTAAAAGTTTAAATTTTATTAATTTAATAAATTTCATTCGTTGCTGGGAAGCATTTTTCTTAGACAAAGGCTAAAAATTAAAAACTTGAGAGAATCGGCAATCTACTGGCATCTGGTGAAAAATTGGAACAATTAGCAGCTATGTATGTGTGTACATGTATATATATATATAAAGTAAGAAATTTACAACTAATTTTTCAAAGACCAAAAATTCAAAATTAATAAATTTCAAAAAATCATATAAATACAATAAAGAATTTTAAAATGTTAAAACCGAAACTTCTAATAAGTAAAAATACTAGGCATGTTTGTATTTTGGTTTTAAAAAACTGTTTGTAATTTTATCTATATATATTTGTGCTAGAACTAAATAATACCTTCACAAGTAGCTTTCTAACTACAGCATCACCAGCACTTTCTGACACTGCAGTAACTTTCAAATCTATGTATCCCAAAGTCTTAGGAGTTATAAGAAACAAAACTGATATTCCATCTTCTGCAGGTACCTAGATCATAAAAATAATAATAAAAACTAAATAAGCAATAAATATCGCAGATTTTATGCTAGCGACCAGTATGAAAGGCTAAAAATGACACATATTATTAACCAAAAATTTTCCTAAAGGAATTAAAATTTTTATCTTCTGGTGAAGTGCAAAAATTACCACCATTTTTTTAAATTTTGAAGACAGATAAACAATTGAGAAATTAACAATGAAGCTCATAAACTAAATAAAAGATTTTGTTTTCTGCCACATGATCTTGCATAAATATTTTGCAATAAATTACATAACTAAGAATATATAATTAAAACTTTATGTATTAAATAATTCATGAAATGTGAATTAAAACATTAAATAAATGCAATCAGGACTAATCACATTAGTTAGTTCTCTGAAAAAAGAAAGCAAATCTGATATTCCAATATATCCAATACTAACAGGTACAGTTTAATAAAATGAGCACTAAAAAAACACACATACTTCCACTGTCTTTGTCATTTGATCATTTGAGTTAGTTATTTCATTTCCAGCAGTTGTAAATTCAAAATCACCTTTACTATTTTCTAATGTAACGTCGGCCTGAAAAATAAGTGTAATTATTACGCATTAAAATTTCATTACAAAGAAATAGCATTTTAGACATAGTAATTAAAGTTAACAAGAATTAAAGCACAAGAATTAAATTTAATAGAATAAAATAAACCTACTTTCATTGGCTTCTTTTTATAGTTGAAAACAATAACTTCTACATATAAGGACTCTGATCGTATCACAGAATAAGGCAGGTTTAATTTAACAAAGAATGGTCTGAACACGGTAACCTGTGGAGGGTGAAAGGCAAGCCATTTAATATTTGATATTTCCTATACATTAAACACAAAGTACTTATAAATTGAGATCCAATAAATATAGTAAAAAATCATTTTGTCTCGAATAAACAGAAATTCTTCATTAGTGCCTACACTTTTTGAAATTTTAGACAGATGTATACTGCAGAACAGTGTAAATCAATTGCAAATTCAATAGGAGAATTCAGCATAAGAAATTATAGTCTAACATAGCATTCAAAAATTGACATCAGAAATTTAAAATTTGTTTTCTGAACCAGTCTTGATATACTGAATTTTACAGCATACTAATTAACGGTTAATAATTTTTCTTTCATTCTTTGAAATAAGTTAATCAAGTCTAGTAATATTTCAATATATATTAATAATTTTTAATATGCAATTATTGTAATATTGCAAAATATTCAATATTGATCAATTCTAGTAATATTCAAGTAATATTTCAATATGAAATAAATATTATTAAGAGTTGAAGGTGACAGATAATTAACTGCAAGAAGAAATAGTTATATTAGACGATGCTTTGGACATCTCAGAATTTTTTGTTTTAGCAATAACAAAAAACTGGAAGTAACAAAATTGAATGTGAATGACAAACAATATGCATTTGGTGAAAACTAAAAGAATTTTAAAAATGTGAATTGCTTAGCACAGATCAGGTCCAAAATTAGAGGACACAGAAAATGATGCTAGACAATTTTTTTAATGATTAAATACATATGTTTAAAAATCTAAGTTTTTTTGTACAGACATATTATTTAAACCAAAGATACTTCTGGGAACAATAATAGTTAAAGTACCTGAAGGCAAAAGAATATAGCTGGCTGAAAGTTCAAATTAAGAATTTTCATGTGAGCTAATTATGAAAAATTCTCGAAATACTTTTCCTTTTAAGTTTACAGGATAAATATTTAAAAATGATACAGCAAATTTATAAAATATTGAATTGCAATCGTATATAAGAAACTTTAGTTTGAAATAAAAAGAACTGAGATTTTTGGTCTTGCTGGTTCCCCCCCCCTAATATCCTTTTCTTTTTTAAGAATATACCAGATCTACACAGAAAAATAATTCGAAAGATGGAGACTTCTAACAATACTAAATATAAATTATTTTTTAAATGAAATTAAAAAGTTAATGTCATGCTCAGAAGAGGAATAATACCTTAGCATTTTCTGTAGCAATGCCTAATCCATTAACAGAATCCATGGCAAATGCACTGATGATCCATGAAGTAATGGTGTCTGGGATATTTTTTGCCAATGACATCTTGCCATCATTCCTAAATGTAACAAAAAATTTTACAATTTTATCACTTCAGGCATATTTAGTTAATTTTCTCCCCCCTTCCAAAAATAAACACAATTGCACAATAAATCTCCATTAGTAAGATCTTACACTAATAGAAGACTGAAGAGAGATTTATCATTTAGTATTTTTCAATATAAACATTAAAAACAAATTGCACATTCCTGTAACATTTGCATTTTCATAATTAAATATAGTTATAATTAAATATAGTTATAATTTTGTTAAACTGCACCACTGCTGATATATTAAAGGACCCACTTTAACTGCCCAGTGCATAACACACTGATTTTATTTAAAATCTGATAATCATAAAAAAATCATTCATTTCTTTGACATTAATATGAATAACACTAAAACTCTACAACAAAGTCTAGAAATAATTAACTACTGAACAATTTTTGAAACTGATTTAAAAAATGTTTTCTCAGACATGCTATTAAATTTATAAATACATAATAAAACACATACAAAGATAAAAAATAATAAAAAAAACTATAAACGCATAATAAAAAACATAAAGATAAAATAATAATACATTAAGAAATAGTTCTTTTAATTCTATGATTTAAAGAACTGTCAGAATTGAAATTGCTTTGCTCAAAATAGGTAAGCTTTTGCTTTTCTCTAAATGATCGTCATTTTGCATATCCTATTCCCCACTTTTTTTTCTTCTCAAGCCTAATTCTTTTTTCCCTTTTTTTATTTTACAATTTACAAAATATAACAATTACAAGCATTTGACTCCAGAGCTATCATAGAAGCATTCTGCAGTAATTTTTGTAGTAGTTAATTGGTAACCATGACAAAGTTATTTCACAGCAGGGCATCCTTCATGCAGGAATATTGTTATGGAAAATTTCCCAAATCAAGTAAAATCTCTTTTCAAAAAAGTGAAGGGATAAAAATAGACATCATCTGAGAGCTGTTAAATTATACACACTTGGCAATAAAGAGATTGTTAAATTAATATTGCACTGTAATCCTGATATCAAAATTACTTACACTTAAAAACCAAAATTAAGAGTTGCATTAACCATTTTTTTCACAGAAATTAAATTATTTATGCATTACCCTGCAGTTCCAAGATCCCATATCCATGTTTCGGGGAAATTCTTTCGTACTCGAGGTTTTGACCCATACCCATTACCATGGTTATACATCATAGAATCTACAGCATTCAGTTCATCATCTAAGCTCTCTGCCAGTGGATGATATGATCTATACATAACTGAAATTAGATATGCAATATTATATGCCTGATTTAATAATACTTAAGCTTCAAATCTAACAAATAAATCAATCGTATTTTATTATTGCACACAATTATTTAATTTAATAAACTTACTCAACTGAATGTATCGGTAAACAAGTCCATTGGTTAGAACGACGACTCCAGAATCCTAAAAGAGTAAAATTTTAATCTATTTTTAAATATTATAAAGCATCCATACAAAATAAAAATAATTGAAAATTTAAAAAGCTAGAAACCAAAATTAATTTGTATGCCTAACAAAATGGGAACATATTCCCATCTAACAAAGATGGAAGTTGCCACTCCGTGAATTTTTTTTTTTTTTTTTTTTTTTTTTTTATGTGCTGATTTAATGTTTAACCCTTTGAGATTTAGTATATAAAAAAAATTTTTCTTTTAGAAAAGATAACTTTACACATAGATAACTAGCCTCTAATACAACGTTATTTCATGCAAAAAAAATAGGTAAACCTTTAAAGTAATTCATGACATGGTAGGATACCACATGTTTCATCATGCACATAGTGCAGTAAAATGGCATCTTTGCCCTAGCGTAAATTCTCCTAATATGCTTATCTAAAGTGCTAGTTTTAGCAACCAAATGAAAATGCAAGATTTTAATAATTATCTAGAAAATATTGATCATATTCGGAAACTAAAAAATATTTTTTTAAAAACTTATATAATTAAAAAAAATCTCTCTTTGTAAGACTTTTTAGATATTTTTTAATGATTTCATAATAGATTTGAATCGGAGAAGATTTTCGCTCCAGTACTTTATTTGCTACAGATTTGAAAAGGAAGATATTTAGAAGGCCATCATGATTTACATTTCACCTCTCTTTCCTCTGCTTAGGATATTTTTCTATGGTGAATCACACTCGCATAGCCATTCGGTATTCAATGACACTTCATGTTAGTTATATTTTCATTTCTTTCGGAAAAAATTTCACCTCTCTTTCCTCTGCTTAGGATATTTTTCTATGGTGAATCACACTCGCATAGCCATTCGGTATTCAATGACACTTCATGTTAGTTATATTTTCATTTCTTTCGGAAAAAATACTAAGTATTTTTTAAGTTTTACATTATTGCAATTTATTAAAAAATACATATTTGCATTATAAACATATAAAACGAACATACTTGAATTCAAAAATATTTGAAAGGTGCTGCCATCTAGTACAGGGTTCATAGCCACATTTTAGTTAAAAAAATAAGCACCTATAAGCACTTTTCAAGCACATTTTAAGGAAAAAATAAGCACTTGTCTAATTACATTATACACAACTGCATAACCTTAAAAGAAAAATTAGACTTGTAATTTAAAATATGAACTATGCAATATTTATTAAAAGAATGAGCATTACCTCAAAAATGGAAAACAATTTTTTTTTTTTTTAATTTTAAATGACAGTTCAATTTACAGAATTAGTTTACAATGAGAGAAAAAAAAAATATGCAGAACTAAACTATATTACAAAATTTAATGATGATATTTCAGTTGAAAATATAGAAAATAAATAATAATAAGCCATTTTAATTGTATTCGTTTGGCACCTAATAATAAATACAATTTATTTTTCCACTCATATTAATATTTAAGTAATTTAACTTAAACCAAAATTCTGAACATTTTCTAAATTTTCATTGCATAACAGTTTTCCCTTAATATATATCCCAAGCAAAGTAATTTAAGTAATAAAGAGGCACATTTCTGAAATCAGATAACAGGAAATTGCTTCATTCAGTCATCTTTTAACAGTAAAAGCTTAACTAACCCCCACACTCGAAATTCCCGAATATTCCGGATAGTAACTGGAAAAAGAGGAGTGGGGGAGATTGTAGCCGTTCTTTAGATTTAAATTTAAGCTAAATAAATTATTTTGACATTTCGATATGTGCATCATATAAAAACCAACGGAACTAAGAAATATTCTGCTTAGAAAGCACAGTAAAACTCTTTTAAGTGTGTATAAACAAATCTCAGACTGAACATCAAAATTAATTATCAATGCAAAATACTGCAAACGTTATTGTGCAATACGTGCGGTGTAATTCTTCCATATGGGGATATTACGCGATCAGAATCAACACTGCTGGTATTCCGGAGAATAAAGAACTAAATAAAAGAAAAGAGAGATTTACTAATCTGGGGTGTTTCTGATTCTAATTATCAACAGAATGCGTTAAATTTCCGGAAAAATCAATTTCACTTGGGTTGGGTACACCGCAAAAACTTTTATTCCTATTCAATCCAGATTGGACAGTGACCCCCCCCAAAAAAAGTCCGCTTGCTTCAATATTAGAGATTTTGCGGAGAAACTCCCAACCTCCGTACTGTATAATGTATTGGCAAAGAAAATGAAATTATTTTGACTACTCGATTACTTTCCTTTTATTTAAGCCATTCCGAATATTATTCCTTAGAAAGCTAATCTGTGTAAAAACACACCAATTTTTGGAAGTTTATCTATACTTCAGCAGTTACTGCAACTATACTATTATAAATATTCATACATATGCTGATAATATAAGCATAACGATCATAATAAACACGAATATGAACTGACCACGCGGAATGAGGATGCAAATTATTAAAATCTTGATAGAAATTCAAACGTGTGTAGTATTTGGGTGGGAGGAAAAGAATACCGAATGTACCGAAATTTTCTACCTTTTCGCAATTCTTTGGCCAATAGAACGACGTGCACCTGTCTGTACTCTCCACCATAGGTTACGTTAATGCAGAGGAAGGGGGAAAGCAATTTTTGGGAGTATGATTCACCATCTGACGTTGCATATAAGAAAGAAATGTTTAGTTTCGGCTTTGGTACGGAGAAAAAATGTGCTTTCATTAAAAACAAAGGATTAAAAAAAGCACTAAAAGCAAAAAATAAGCACTAAAAATAAAAAAAAATAAGGACTTTAAAGAAAAAGTAAGCACCTATAAGGGCCTTTATATTTTATTTTCAAATATAAGGACTTATAAGCACTTGTAAGGACCGCTACGAACCCTGTAGTAGCAGCAATTCCCTACATGCGTGGTGGGATGTATTTGGTCCCACCTTTTAATTTCAACCATTCTTAATTAATATATATGAATTCAAATAATAATTTTTTTAGAAAAGGAAATTTTCACATAAAAATATTCATTCTAATCTAACGCCAAAAGTTGTTGTTCAGACGATTTAAATTGCATTGGAAATAAAATAAAAAAGCTGCTTTAAAATTAGACCTGCAAAGAATTTCTATTTTACATTATTTCAATGAATGAATACTAGTGCTGCCACCTGTTATGCATTTAGAGAACTAAAAGGAATAATTGTATGTATTTTGAATGGAATTTTGCAGTTTTCATCTGGGAGATAAAAACTGATAAAAAGGTGGGATGCCTGTCAAAGGGTTAATGTTTTTTAACACCTCAGGAGCACAAAGGAATAATACATCAATGAAACAGAAATGTTTTCAAATAAACAAGAAAATGAAAATTACATCAAAAACTTCATGAGCTGTAGCTGATCCAGGCCACCAAAGAGAACGCTTCTTGCGATAGAAGGGATTATACCTGTATTTCTTTTTACCTCCATCATACATTTCCAATTCAGAAATTACCTAAAACAAAATTGCACAGAGGAAACTAATAAATGATTAGGCATTCAACTACACAGTATTTTTACTGACTGGCAGCAAAATCATCCTAATTAAGTAACTACTCTAGTTATAAAACAGCAGTAAAATATAGCAAGCTGCAATGATTTATAATATAATAAAAGGACAATTATTAGTAATCTCAAAAATAAAAAATCACAGTAAAGTTCCGAGAAGAAAGGAAACTGGAACTTGGAATATTTGCTATTTATTCCATTTTTATATGAAGAAATAATACACAACAAATCTGGAATGTTTGACTATCACTCATTTCACAACTGTCATGTACACTGCACAAAAAAAGGGGGGGACACAGTTCGATATCTCCCGTTCTACTGCGCTGATTGACAAAATTCAAATTGCGTTTTTCATGTCTCAAAAGTGCAATTTAGGATATATATTAGCAATGTTCTAAAATAAGTATTTTCACACAAAATCCTACTTTTTCTGAAATAACATACCATTTTTCTTTTCCATATTTTGATTCTACGTCTCAAATTATGCCTAGATCTTAAACTTTGTAAAATTTGATGTGAAATTTACGGAGAAATTCAAAAATTTATCTTGGCACAATTTTTTCAGTTTGCCCAAGAATAATTCGTTTGGCGAACTTCATAATATATGGCAACCAATTTCTCTTTCCCTTCCATTACACAGGAGCGGAAAAAAGGCACCTCTTTCCTATCCTTTTATATTGTGCATAAGCAGGAAAAAAGTCACACTGTTCTGGATTTCAAATAATTATAGCAAAGTGTCTAAACCACATCTGAGGTTTTTTCATTTTCAACAAATATGCCAAATTTCAAAACGTGCCAATATATAAATTCACATATATCTTCAGAAATTTTGAATAAAAACTGTAATTTTTTTGCAGGTAGGCTTACAAATATGTCTACTTTTTAAGATGATGGTCAAATTTTTATATATTATAATTCAAAATTTTTTTGAAAAATTTATAAAAATTATTTTAAAATACAAATTTTAAAAAATAAATCTTAAAAAACAGGTGAACGAGTTTTGTTTGGAATGAACATGAATTTCAAAAATGTGAAAGGAAGAATCAATAAGTTTAATGAAAAACAGAGATATTAATATATATATATACCAAAACTCAATTAACATTCGGGAGCTAAAATTTTGAGCGTTAATTTTTTAAAATCTGCTCTTGTGAAATTTTTACAAAAGATTGGTACTCTGGCATAATTTGTAAAATTTGGGAAATATATTCGAAATTTTAGAATATATATTCGAAAATGGGGAAAAATTGGTATGTCATTTCAGAAAAAGTCCGATTTTGTGTCAAAATACCTATATTAGAACAATGCTATATATAAATCTAATACATATCCTAAGTTGTCCTTTCAAGACATAAAAAACGCAAGTTGAATTTCATCGATCAGCCCAGTAGAACGGGACTGTCCTTCCCCCTCCCCTCCCTGCAATGTACAGCAATTGTAAAAAAGTTATATTTAAGCTTATTAATTTCATCATATACAAATTCCACAATCCAACCATAGTATATTATCAGAGCCAATTTCATATATAAAATTTCAATACATTAAAATTCAATACACCATGAAGCAAATTTTAAGACAAGAAACAGAAGGTGCTAATCTCGTTATATATTAACTTGAATGCCTAATAATATGGCAACAAAACAGATGCAAGCATATTCCATTTAACATAACTGACTCTCAGCTGTCACTCGTGCATTTTTTTTAATGTGTTGAAAGTCGCCCCTGGAGCACAAAGGGCTAATATTTATGTTATTTCATGTAACAAGACTAGTGCAGAAATCTGATTTAAAAACATCATTGCTCTCACACTACAAATTTTGTATTAAAGCTAAATAGCATTACGCTATATCTAGTAACATACTAAAGTTTTCCATATATTATATTTACACAAACAGAGAAGATACTTACATCATTTTGGGTAATATCATTTCCAGATTTGAGCAATAAAACACTCTGATCTATTCCAAGTAAACCCACAAGAGCATTTGGTCTGGTTTCTACTGTCACATTGACCAGAGCTCCAGGTTTTGTTTCTTTCACATCAGTAGATACACTAACCTGATGAAATGCAAATTCAAATATCAATTAACAGATTAATCTATAATAAAAATTAAGATCTGGTAATATCCATGTTCCCACCTTTGTTGTTTATTTAGCCCATCAGCCTATTGCCTTCAAAATTTCATTTAACATTAAGTTTTCAGATAAAAAAATTTTTTTTCATACCTATAATAATCTTTCAACTTTATGTTTTACATCATGTAAAAAAAGGCATGTTTACTGCATATTATTATTTAAAAGGAATGTCAAATTAATAAAAATTAATAATTATAACAAAATCTTGATTACAAATACAATAGCAAACACAAAAAAGGTTTCACATAATGTGCTAAATAGTCAAGAATTACAAATATTCAAATTATTAAGAATTACAAATATTCTTGGTAATACTGAACCCTTCATTAGCTGACAGTATTTAATAGAATTCAAAATGTAAAAATTTAAATACATAACATAAAAACAATACAAGTTTACATAATTTTAATAAATTTAAGTTATTTAAAAAGATTTAAAATGTTCTAGACTAAGTAATGCTGCTGTATTTGGATCACAATAATTATTTGATTAAAGAAATTAGATTCATTCTAGGGATTTAAAATTAGGGACATTACTTCTACTTGGTTTATTGTAAAAAACATTGTTTACACACAATTTTTGTAATTAACAAAACAAAATTGTATTATGTGTTATACAACATTCAAAGGAGTATTTACAATTTAACGCAAAACGCAAATTGTTAAATTTTTTTCAGATGAAGGTAATTGTGCTTTTCTATCAAACTGCAAATGGTAAAAAAACTTATAAGGAATGACTGGATATCTCTTTTCTTACCATATTCTATTTATTTACTGTAGGCTTTGCATTTAAAATTCTTAAAAGTTACAACTTTCAGTCTGAAGACTATGGGCAGTGCAAAAAAATAACAAATATTTGACAAATTGAAAAAATATATATCCATAATTAATTTTCCATATCTGCATAGGAACATGTTAAAGAAATTTGAAAATACTAGCTAGTACATGCATTTACTTACGGGTGTCCTAAAAACTCCAGCAACATCAAAATTGACAGCATCAGCAACAATCTCATTATTTTCAGCTTTGACATAATATACAACAACTCGAGCTTTGGGAGCCATTTTGTGAGTCACAGGTATCGAGAATCTGTAGGTTTTCACATTAGGTATATTAATAGCACCAGCCAGAACTATGTCTCCACGACCTAAAACCTTAGGAGGGAAAATGAAATTATTTCCTAAATTTGAGTATTTCCAAAGAATTTGATTACAATGAACCACAAATTTTTTTTTAAATTCCTCCTTATATTTAAATACTAAAAATAAAAAATTAAAACCAAAACACATGAGTATAAAAGATTTTGGTCCTTTATCCGCATCAGCAACATCAAAATTGACAGCATCAGCAACAATCTCATTATTTTCAGCTTTGACATAATATACAACAACTCGAGCTTTGGGAGCCATTTTGTGAGTCACAGGTATCGAGAATCTGTAGGTTTTTACATTAGGTATATTAATAGCACCAGCCAGAACTATGTCTCCACGACCTAAAACCTTAGGAGGGAAAATGAAATTATTTCCTAAATTTGAGTATTTCCAAAGAATTTGATTACAATGAATCACAAAATTTTTTAAATTCCCCCTTATATTTAAATACTAAAAATAAAAAATTAAAACCAAAACACATGAGTATAAAAGATTTTGGTCCTTTATCTGCATCTCCTATTTCAACGTGTAGTCGAATTGCTATGTTTTTCGCATATTTTTAGTGTATATATATATGACAATAGCCACTGACACATATGCACACACTCTATGTGTGTTTGGATATGTGCAGGTTTATATGTAACTGTCAATTTGCAGACTGCAAAAATTTAAATGTCAAGTAGAAAGACTTCTGTTCCCTCCCCCATAAAATTTATTTCTCATGAAATGCTTCCTTTTATTATTTTATGAACAGAACTATACCTATCAGCTATAAGGATAGTCAAACACAAATGTTTTTGCACATTTCTAATAATTTAGATGTTCAGATATTACCTAAATTTCCATAGAAATTCTGTAAAAATGGCTGAGGAATAACATCAGACTCTCTTTTTAAATACAATATTCCAAATTTATAAACTTTTAAAATAAATTAAGTTTTAAATTAATGCACTCACACTGTGTGCACAAGAGAAAAAGGAACACTCTAAATCAATCACGTTGAGTATGAGTAAAATGCAGATTATGTACATCATAGCCTTTTGTTTTATGGGACAGAACATCTAAACCTTTTGTTTGTGGGATAGTTCAGATTTAATTAGTTTGAATATAGTGAAGTATAATAGGGCTATCTGCCTAAAGGATGAAATACTTTCATGGAGAACTTTTGAAGGAACCTGGTTTATGTTAAAAATGAACAAAAAATTAAAATACTCATGCAGTCCTTTTACCAGGATGAAATGATGCAAAATTTATTTTTTTAACCAGAAAATGTTGTTTAGTTAATCTCATTTATATAGACAATCTATTTTGCCAGCATACAGAATTTCAAATGTGGTGACATCCATGAGCTAAAAAAGATAACTATCACATTTAAATCACAGTATACGAATTTCTACACATATGGAAATAAATTATTTCAGTTGTTAAAACAATAATTCATACTTTTCAACTATTAAGTAGTAATAAAGAGCAAAGAAAAGATTCTAAAAAACTGTCAATATTGTTATTCTTTCTCTCTTTGTCTACCTAATTACTATTAAATTAGCTTACATTATTCTTTTTATTATTAATTATAAATAAAATATTCTTACTTCATACACTAGCTGAGAAAGTGGTTCAGTAGCATTCACTTCTAATTCAACTTCTTTATCTACAGTAGGATTTTCAGTTCTCAAAAGAATTTGAATGAAACTGTTGCTTGGAGACATGGCAGCTTCGACATTATCTAGGTGATATTCCAAGCCTCTGAATTCAGCATTCATGCTTAACAAAGAGACGTTGCTATTTACTGGTGGATAAAAGTCCACACTCAATAGGCCATTACTTGGTACAGCAATACTACGGGAATCCCATTCACGTTCATCATAAGTATACCCATATTTCAATACAATTTGATCACCATTTGTAACAACAACAGGAGTATCATCTTGATAACATACTTTGAGCTAAAAAATAAATATTTATTAATTTGAGTAAACCATTAAAATTAAAAATGTAAGCAATGGTTTTGGTTTCTAACAACTAAATACAAAAATATTGCTTTTCTGGTGAAAAAACATTATATTAAGCCTTCAAATGGACGCTGAGTTTCTGATTATCCACAATATGAGTGATCCCTCATATCTTATATAATACGAGTTTATCTCTCAATGTGTCAAACCATTATCATGAAAAATTGAATCTTTTTTTTTTTTAGAAGAAATAAATTTTCATGCAGCTAACTTACTGCTAAAACTTGAAATAAGTTATAAGTTTTATTCCCATTTTTAAAAATGATAATTCTTATTTTAGAAAACTGGCTGAGAAAACAATCTAGCATAAAATGACTACCAACATGATGTCTGCCAGAAATCATTCTTAATATTCAGTTTTCAAAATCTAAGTTAATAAAAAATAAAAGAGTAAGTACAGTAAGACAAAAAAGATGAAGGTATTTTATTAGTCATTTTCAAATCAAAATTTATCAAATAGATTTTTATATATCAGATCAGATTTCAAAATGTGGTGAGTGAAGAGAAGCTAATGAATAACAGTAATAATAAAATAAGGATGAAAACATCACAATACAATACAACCATAAAATCTTCATCTTGGGCTTTATTATTAATAAATTCAGTTTTTAATTAGCAAGTTTGAAGTTTTCTGAAGATGTAAGTTAATTACTACTTATCTAATTTTTTCATTAGCATTTTGAAAAAAATTATTAACATTTTAAAAGAAAACAGCATGAGCGGTGTATTTACAAAATAGCATCAGGAAAAGTTTGCTTTGATGAGCACAATACACAACTTCATATGAAAATAGATAAACAAGATTATGCAAAAAGAAAAATTATGATGGGCTAATTTTTTATGTATTACATTCGTAACTTTTACTTGATTATCTTACTAAATCTTAATGTGATTATCTAACTAAATAATGAGTGATCATTTCCTTCAAACTTCTGGCAGAATGATTAGTATACATTTGACAGGACCTTTGGTAACTTTCATGGCCCATGAAAATATGTTAACTTATGTCTGAAATGCATCTGTCCCTCCCCAATCTTATATAATGTTAAATGTATGCATTTGATATTTGAACTGATAAGAGATAAAACGGCTGTTTTTATAATTTTAGGCCAGAAATTTCTAACAGTTTGAAAAGTTTGGTAGGGCATCAAGCATTAATGTGTGAATGGACTGTCATAGTTCATTCGACTTACTAGATTAACTTTTTTGTTTCTCTTTTAATTAAATTATGATTGATTAAAAGATTATCCAGCAAATTACCATAATTAGGTCATCAAAAATATGTTACATTCTTTTAAAGAAGATATTAAATGCAAAGAAAATAGTTTAAGAAATAACTTAACTTTTGGTTACTTTAGAATACTTTATTCATTTTCTAAAGCAACCAAAAATCACTAATTCTTAGCATTTTAATATGATATTTCGGAACATTTTACCAAGGACATTTTGAAAATTTTTACATACATAAACAACTTACATGAGCTGTGTACTTCAAACCAGGTTTAAAAGACTCAGACGATTTCACAAGTTCTACTTTAATGTCTCTGTCGTACATTTTAATGACACTGGTTGCATTATATTTCCTTTTTGTCAAATATTCTTCTACTTCAGCAACAACATCAATTTCCAAAGTCAGAGCATCCTCCTTCAGACCCAAATCACGAACCAGATTCATGGGTATGTTGACTGAGCCATCAATCTGAAATAAATATTCACTACATTTACCAGGTTTTAAATTAACATGTTTGATACTACCATATAAAAAGTTCAGGTTTTAAATACAGTATTACTTTAAATTTAAGCTTTTGAACTGTATTTTGTATTTAAAACTTTTAAGAAAATTGAAAGCAAGCACTTTACACCTTATAGATGCTGATCTCACACTCCCCAAAGACAGGATCTTTGCTTAATGGTCTGGGCATACACATAGTATTACAATCAATGATATTTATTATTTTTTCACTTTCCAATTTTAAAATTCTATTGAAGCTTAAAAATTTAAGAGGATTAAATTCAAAGCAAAAAGGTACTAAAGAAACTATTCCAGTTTAACATCATTACCATTACTTGCTCAAATTACAAACTCAACTTTTTTCATCCAGATGCATTAAAATTGCTAAAGATTCACCAATGTAACATTAAGATCTGTCACATATATAAAAATTCAGCCAGCACTTTAATTTTGCAAAACTACACTTTCTTGAGTCGAAAGTTCGAAAAAGATACGGAATGTTGTTACAGAATAACAGCTTTAACATCAATAATCTTGGAAAAAATTTCATTTAAAACATTCTTTCACCCTATCAAATTTCTCAAATGCTTTAAAATTTCAAACAGTTTATTCGTATAACTGCATAAAATCTTAAGGGAAATAAAATACGAAGGATAACTGTTGCATTTAGTTTCTATCTGGTTACTTGTTTAGTTTCTATCTGGTTACTTCAAAGAAATGGTGAAAAAAATTCAGTCCTAAAACTTCATAGATGCATTGCATATTGCCGCACCTATTTCATAAATACTAGAGTAGGATCTACAGATGATTATTTAAGAGCTTCATCATACAGGACAATATTTCAAGCAAACCATATTCAAGAATACAAGTCTATAAATATTAAGAAATGTTTTTCAGAGAGCCATTAAAAGAAAACAATAAATCTGATGAATGTTTAAAAAAAATCCTATTCAGCTAAAAAAACTTGTATTTCAAAATACAGAAAACTAGCAATAATTTCCAAGTTCAAAATGGTACAAAATACTCTGAAATAAAATCACAAATTGTCATTAATTATTATTAATAACATCAATGTAAAATGAAGTATGCATGTCTAAATTAGTAGAAGGAAAAAGTAAAACCATTACCTCAGCTTCCGTAACGGCAGGCTTATTTTCATTAGCAAGGTAACCATATCTCAAAGATGGTTTCACAAGAAGTTTAGCATGTCCTTTCACAGGCTTTCCATATGTGTATCTAAATTCAATAGAATGTATTTTACAAGAAAGATCACTAATATTAGAGGTTTAGACATTAGCTCACATTACAAATACTGACATTAGAGGAAACAGAGATTAGAAACACAAAAAATGTACAATAAATATTTATAAAATGAATTTTATGCTTCTATTTTTAACTGCCTATTTAGACATGTGGAAAGGTCAAATTTCTTAACACAACAAAAATAAACTGTTTCAAATATACCACAAATTTTTAAATTTCAATGAAATAACTGTTAAATAACTTGAGTAGATATTTCCGATTATCTTAAAACCAGTCTAAGCGAAATTTAAAATTTCATTTATGTTTTCAAACATCATTTAAATTGACATATGATTACCATTATTCTGCAACAAGAAAATTTAGAATTTTTATATTATTTTATATATTACTGAAAAAATAACTTACCTGGCCGTGACAGTTGCCACAAAATCAGGCTTGCTGTATGTAACATATGTTGGTAAAGATAACTGCACTTCAAAATTTGGAAGAACTGTAACATAAAACATGTTGAAATACATAGGTCAATACAGGCAAGTTTTCAGGAAACCTACTTATATAAATCTTATTCTAAAATTCTATATAAACACTATCTTAATGTTGCTACAAATAAAAATCTGTAAAATTAGCATTACAGTGTGTTACAACTCGAACGGGAAATGAGCGAAAGTTTCTCTTCTGCCAGTGGCAATGAGGAGTCGAAAAACGAACTTGGAAGAATGCGGTCGCTCACTCGGTTTCTCTCGATAGAATTTGATACGAAGGGGGGATAATCCCCATCTTTTGATTTGAAATTAATCTTAAATTATGTATATATTGTAATATTAAAGATGTGTGTAAATAAAAGTCATTAAGACTTAATTGAAGTAGTGATTTGAATCGAATATACAAATCGAAAGCTCTCCCAAATAGAACTATGGATTATAGAAATAACACAGTAATTATCTATGAAATATCTCAAAACTCTGTATATCTGATAAGGGAAATCATGGGCTATAGAGCAAATACAGTTCTGCTTATGTAATTGTTAAAATCAAAGCCAGACAACAGAAAATATTACAAAGAATTAAAATACTTCACATATAAGAAAGGTCATATTATCGGATGCAACAATTTCACACACAATTGAGTGTGTGTTTTTTTCCCTAGTTTTCCCTTTCTCAGATTTTCTAAAATAACCATTTAAGTGTTTAGACCTGTTTCCCGAGCAAAATATTTTTTCACATAACTGACTGAATAAAAACTAAACTTAGTCATAGACTAACAGCACTTTCAATTAATCATTGTTCGAACAGTTTCACAAAAGTACAAAAATAATTCAAATGAAACATGCTTTAACCAACATTAGGGGGATGACCTTATTCACAAACCAGTGAAAATCTAAATTCAATTCAAACATAAATCAGCATAAAAGGAAATAATCAGCATAAAAGATTTATTTTTTTAAATTTTACCTACCATATTCAGCAACAGTAAATGTCTTTTTGAACATTTGTCCCTAAAAAAAAAAAAAAAAAAAAAAAAAAAAAAAAAAAAAATTTTTTTTTTTTTAAAATTACCATGAATATAATTATAAATTCCAATTAAAATATTCATCGGAAAGAATATAACTTAAAATACAAACTACATTATGAGCATATTACATGATTTAAAATTAAGTGCATTAATTTAGGGTAATATAATGGTCATCGATTATTTCTAATATTATCCTCATTATTTCATCATACAAAATGCTATTTATTTCTTTTGATTTACATTATATCTTCAAAGAAAGGAAAAAATATTTTAATAGCATTTCACTCTTTATATTCTAAGAAAAAAAGACAAATATTTATCTAAAATACACTAATATTATATTTCTTAACTAAAGAGGAACCAAGATCAACCAAACTGAAATTTTGCTCGACTAAAATTCAATGACTGGTTTAAATTTTATCTTCTTTTATAATTTGATCTTCCTTTTCATAAACTTTAATGTTAATATTTAGTTGTATATGCTACAGTTTTGATCTGCCATTAAATTCGAAAAAACAGGGCACTTGAAACTCTTCCACAATTATTTCATTAACCTCCCATAAATAAAATTCCATTTTCATCCAGCAGCAAATATTTACAAACAGATGAAGTTCTCATGCTCTCCCTGACATGGAAAGTGAAAACCAGAATATGCAGGAAAGCTTACCAAAATATCAACATTTATAGACCAATCTCCAAGAACTGGCTGATCAGACAAGAGCAAATCAGCTGAAACGGCACCTGTTTAAAGAAAATTTAGTTAGTCTATATGTATTCCCACAGTAAAAATGGTAAATTTCATTATTCAGATCTGTTATTACCTTTACTCGTAAACTGTCTATTCCACTGCTTAATGCGATTACCACTGGCATCCTGAAATAATTAAATTTTCTTAATACATATTTAAAAATCAAAGAATGAATTTATTACTAAGTATTAGAAATTAACTATTATTACATAATCATGACTAAATTTTTAATTTGAAAAAAAAAAAAGAAAAAAAAAAACAAGTATCAAAAAAAGCCTTTACAAGTGTGTATATTCTAGTTTTAATATGCATGTTAGTTGAAAAAATTTCTTTGAGGTTTAAAATGCCAATAATTTGCAACGAAAATTTATTTGCAGTGAGAAAATGAAGATATTTTCACTGCTTCTGCACATTGGTGATTCAATAAAACTATAGCACTTCTACCTAATAAACTTAAAAAATATAAGGAGCAAATAATTATTAAAATAAAAGAATTTAAAGCGTAAATGAAAATCAAGAGGTCTTTGAAATCTTGGAATTTTGCTTTCTGCTGCAAATTTCAAAGATCCTTTCATCCCAAATATATCTATCAGCTAAAGGTCTAGCAAGTTTTACAGAAAATACATTAATTATCTAAAAAGACAGAGAAGATACTTACTGTAATAAACATATTTATAGCTCCTGTCACAGTTGGCAATAAATGAGGATTTACAACAAGGACTCTAAATTGGACTAGAAAAAGAGAAAAAAGGAAGAAAAACTTAATTTTACAATTAAATGATTCTTAAAGAGAAATTCAGAAATTACTTTTAATTGAAAAATATGACTTCTGCATAAGTACGACAATTTTAAGATTTCCCAATGATTCAAATAATAGTTTCCTGTTTGCATAGAAAAATTGTTAAAAATGTTTCTATTGCCTTCACAAAAGTAGTATTAACGTTTAATAAACCATAAATTTTAATAATTTTAAAATATATTCTTCATATATGACCAATTCAATCATATAAAACAAAAAATTTACATTACATATTAAATATACATTTAATCATGATAATTTAGACACATAAATTAAAACAGATGTAACTCGCAGAAAAAGGAATTACAGAACGTATTTAAAATATTATACCATGTTCATAAAAAGACATGCAGTTATACAGAACATAAACAAATACTAACAAAATGAAAAAAAAAGCAACCATAAAGATTTTCTGTGTTATGATTTATATTATCAATGAAATGAAAATATGTAGATTTATATTATCAATGAAATGAAAATATGTAAACTCTCCCAATTCCTCTTCTACAATTACATTCTAAAAATGGATTATTCTCAGAATGTTAACAGTATCTCATGCACGTGTTTAAATTATAACCTTCTCTGTTTTCTTTTATTAGAGGTACAGGTAAAAGTGAGTGGGATATGAGAAATTTCTCTATAAAATCTAACAGGTAATGTCCCAGCACACTAACCATCTAGATGCTTTCCACGGGGTAGTATCAATTATTTGGCATCACTGTATAGAACAGACATTGATATGGAGGCTGAGACTTAATTTGCATATACCTAGCTATCCCTTAAAATATTGAAGAGGCAATGATTGAAGAGTTCTTTAATAAATTTGGGGTGGGTATAATACAGCATATAATAAGAATAGCATTATATTAATAAAAAGTATTTAACATATAAGACTATAATATATAGTTTAACAATGCAACATAATAAATAGTACATAACTAATAAAACATTACTATTTGAATTACATTATTTATATACATGTTTGCATACTACTTTATTCCTCTACATATAATTTTGTTGTGTACGAAGTTTTATTTCGTACGAGTGGAATGAGATTAATGGATATATGTTTGGGTTACATCCATAATTTTGTAATCTGTACCAAGGTGAAGTTCAGAATTCCAATGATAAGTTCTTAGTTTGGATCAGTAATTTATAGAAGTTCAACTCAGTATTTTGATATACTGAAGTTACAAATCCTCCTGGAATTTAATAATGGTAATTTGCTGTAGCAGATTTGGTATTAGGCACTGTGGAGATAAGGAGGGATTACGACATTATTTGGCATGGCTCTCGCCCCAGGGAGTTCAGTTTTTGTTGTATTTTCATTATCTTAAGATGCAAATGCTGTTGCGTTATGATAAACTTTTTGAAAGCAAGATCCAGATTCATAGATTTGCCGAGATGAAGGTTTATGTTAGAAGAGAGAAGCACGAGTCATGATCTGCATCTCTCTTTCCTGCACAAATGCAGATTCAAGATTTTTTCTTGAAGAAATATTATGGACATGGACATGGCTAGTAATGTATCAAAGTTAGAAATGATTTGATGCTTCTTGCATTGGTATTTTCTTACTAAAGTATAGGCTGGCTGGCATTATATGTTTTCGTGCACATAGAAGCCCACAGAAGCAATAGTTTTTTTTTTTTTTTTTTTTACAGCCATTTATTTTACATATGTTGGTGAAATTTTGATGCTTTCCATCATTTTTAAACTCACTACTGTCAAAATATTATAGGTCCTATGTGAATTTTGTGTCATGAAGGAACAATTGTGGATTTTGGACCACGAACATGGAAATCTGCAATTCCAAATTATTTCTTTACCCAAAAAGCTTTTTTTTTTTTAAAAAAAAAGAAAACTAGCAATATTTTGTAATTTTTGTTACAAACCTTTTTAAATGGTGACTATCAAATATTACATAACTATACTGCCTAATTGTAAATATTATATAACTGTGTGTGATAACTAATTCAGGCAATTCTTATGTCGTTGAGAAAAACAAAAGGAGGAAAAACTCATAACAAAAATTATTTGCAGAATCAATCAACTATGAAAACACTACATAGTCTGTACTTTAATGGAAGAAAAGATGACAATGGTAATTAAAATAATTAATTACAGCACATTCAAAGAACTGAAAGAGACAACCATTATTCTCTCCACACATGAAACAGAATATATCAGCCATGTTAATCCCTCTAGAGGACTTACTAAAGATACAGCTTCTACCATTTCAGTACACACGTGGTTCTTTTTTAAGAACCTGGGGTGATAGGGAGAGATGGAACTGCAATTAATACCGGTTTAAAAAATTGTACTATCCACCTGATCGAATTTCAGATTCAAAGACCACTGCATTAACACATTCGGAGACCACTGTCTCCCACATTTCAATGAACTGAAGTTTCGTCACTTATATTCTGTTGTTGCAAAGTCAGGGACAATTTTAGAAGACAGTAGCTTATGATCCTGGTCCACTTTACTAATCAATATGACAACAAATCGAGTTCCGACTTTATGTGAACTTAGAAAAACACACTGATGAAATTAGGAAGTTGATACATTTTATTCTGAATAGCTACTTGCTTCCCTAGTTCAAAATTAAAACCAGCAAAATTTCACAGATGGTACAAAGGTAGTTTTTGAAACAATCGGAACATTATACCCAACTCGAAATTTACTGTAAGTCATGAGAACCCAGTTATTAAACAGAATTCATTCATTCAATCCTAGTAATTCATTCTTCTTTTGATCATCCTGAAAACTTAATCCTTGCAATGATTGTGAATGAAGACCCATCAGAGAGCTAGAGCTGTGAATGATTCTTCAAAGCTTGATCACTTTCCAAGTGAAAACCATTTGAAACGTCATCATGCCAGAATTCACCTTCGAAGCAACATACTATATCAGTATCATTTGGTAGGGTAGTTAAAATCTCTCTCCTCCTCCGCTGTTAAGAAATATCAAGGACAAGACTGGCACATCGCTGCAACTTTCAAAGTTTCATTTGTCACACCTAAAAAATCTATGGCACTGAGGTAAGAAATGGCTTGATTAGTACAACCTTCTCATCAAAATTATTATGCCCAAATTTCCCAAAAAAACCAACTTTAAAGAACACTCTTTTGAATAACAAAATTGAAAATGATACATATATACACCATTTGTTTACTAAAAATGAAAAATGAACAAAAACTGCAAACTTTTGATATTTTTGCAAAAAACTGTTTTTTGAGCTTTTTTTCACAATTGAAATTGTAGGTTTTAAGCCTTTCTTATAATTATATAAAAAAATGATGAAAAACAGCATAATTTCATTATTTTTCAAAAATCTGAGTACAATACGTCGATGAAGTTATATTTTTAATTGAAAACTTTGTATTTCATTTCGTGCAACTATGCGTTCTGGGGTACAGCGATAGAAAAATAACAAAAAGCTTTTTTTTCCACCCATCATAACAGAATATAATGTAGAGTGCTCCATTTACGTAAAATATATATTCCATCTACAGTATTTTTATTTTAGTATTAAATAGTGTTATAATAATAACAATAGGATTCTTTTCAAATTGATTATTTTCCCTTCGATTCTTATTGGAAAATTTTGTTTGGTATATATCTGAGGTTTGACAATGGATTAATGACATATACAGAGGTACTACTGTACAGGGGCAGGCAGCCGCCCAACCAGTATAAGCGATTATCGACGCCAACCGTCATGCTGAAGGGTCAGCCCCTGTGGGTGCTCTCCATCAAAATTGGGGGCGGAACTGAGCTAAATCGCACTGTCACCTGAATGGTGCTCAAAGCTATTGCCAACGGCTGGCGTATTCTAGCACTCCTTGTCACGAGGAATTTGTGGGCTTGGGCTGACTTTGCCAGACAAGTCAGCATAAGCAACAACAAAAGGTTACGCTGCATTTCAAAAATCTTACCTAGCTGTCCTGGTTTATATATAGCCTTGTCTGTCTGGATGAAGACAGAATAGCTTTTATGTTCATATGTAAGTAGAGTCTGGTTCCTAAATGACATGCCTCCTTCACCAATCACAGTAAGGCTGTAGTTCCCAGGACTCCATTCTCCAATCTAAATGTTAAAAACATGATATTAGATACACATAAAAGGAGATTCACAAGTTATTCATTAATTGCTTTGAGTACTTTTTTGAGATTCATTATTTTCAGTACCTTCAAATCATAGGATCATTAAATGAGGGACTGTTTTAAACAGGAAAACTTATGCAAGATAGGAAACAAATTTTCTGACCAAACAAAAGTAGTTACACCAATTCATATAAGATAATAATATCAAGCGTAAATTATTGCATTCAAAGTCAAGGATAGGTGAAACAGTACTCAGAAAAAGCAACAAATTAGTACCAAAGAACATCTGGTAAGCAACCTCAATAAAATGTACACAGATAAAACAATAACAATTAAAGTACATATGGTACATCTGCATTATGGCATATTAAAGTTACATACTACATTATACATAAAAAGATTTGAACTAAGATATTTGCAATGTATCATTCAAATAAAGACTATTTATAAAATTAATATATTTTACATTTTTAATCTAATAATCTGGTTATTTTATTATTCTAATAATCTGGTTATTATATTTAATCTAAGAATCTGGTTACTTTTATTGTTTAACTTCTAAATTAATATTTTATTAGTTATTTGTCAAGTCAGGATTACATAAAATTAGGACAACTGGAATAACTTTATTTGGTACCATCACATTTTTTAAAGGTTATTAATTTAAAGACTGAATTTCCATCATTATCCGTAGATGCAAAAACCTATTGTGTATTTTAACGTATGACTGAAAAGAATTTATGGTGGCTCTTAATGATTTTTACAGTTTAGTTTAGCGTGGACGCTGGTTTCTCAACAAAATTAGGATAATGCATACTAATTATGCATTTTAGCCTAACTACAAATAAAGATTTCAGTGAAAGTTTCCTTCCTGATTTTGGGGAAAAAAGCCATCAAACTCTCATAGAAAAGAAGTTATGAGAACTAATAAATACAGACAAAATACTTAGTTAGAAATAACAGTAAAAAATTTTAAATAGTAATTACAAATGAATATTTTATGAAAGTTTTATCTAGCCATTCAGAATTATATTAATCTTTCTTATTTGAAATAATACAATCGGGAAGACCAAGAAGAAAAAAAGCTTCTACCTCAAAATTCAAGATTTGAGTTTCACCTGAAATGAAATTAAATACAGAATTACTAAGCAATTGAATACAGAATTACTAAACAAGTCAAAAATCATTTTTAAAAAAATCAACACAAGATTTTGAATTCATTTTTAATTCTGGACATATGAAATTAATTTGAAATACATAAGAAAGTATTTGAATTACAATACATGTAATTTGGTCATTGTTGTTGATATGTTAAAGATGTAACTGTTAGATCAATCATGATGCTATCAAAAAAATTTATTTCAAATTATAACCTTTTGGTGAAACATGGCTAAAAATGGAGCCAAATTCGATGATTATGAGATATGGTGATATTCAGCAGTTAAACCATAAGAAACAGCAAGATGAGATTTTTCAGCTTTCATTTCATAATCTATCCTTTTTTTACTCTTTACTTATGTAGACTTAATTTTGCATAAATTGCCTCTACAGCTTTATACTTTGAAATATAAAATGTCACCATATAATTATAATAAAGTTTAGAAAATTGTCTGTTGTATGCATACACCAATATTACAATCTAAAAAAATATATGAGAAAAGCTGAATAAACATTTTGAAAGCAAGCTCCAAGTTAATTATTGCTCTAGCACCCATAATTAAATCAATCACAAAATGATTACAATTCACCTGTTCATCCACAACAGATAGCAACACTTACTAGTAGCATCTGTCAATGATGAAGAACTCAAGTAAACCAATTAACATGTTGACTGCCTTGGGGGGTCACCGGTGACCGGCACTCGACTTGGCTACAGCGCCATGGGTGCCACTGGTTTTTAAACGGTACCATTGTTACTATAATGGTTTGAAGAATAATAAATCGTAAAAAATTCCATTATAAATTGCAATAATGGTCTACAGTCAGTGCCTTGGGGGTCACTGGTAACCCCGCCACATAAAATGCATTAAGCACGATTAGATAACTAACATTATCTTCTATACATAACATTTCAACATAATATACATTGCATAATAAAAATTTCAAGTCGGCATTATGGGCAAACTATGTCAAATGCGTGCAGCAGTCAACGTGTTAAAAGTCCACAAGACATACAAATAAACATCATCTCCCACTAATTTGATTGCCCATCAGCCCATGAATGGGTAAAGACTGCTGACTACTGGTATTTTGCCTCAGCTTCAAATCCTGGCCCCGCATCTTCATGGTTTTATTCATATAACATAAATACACACGGTTTTATTCATATAACATAAATACAATCTAGCTTTCATTAGAAATTTCTCCATGAAGGTAGCTCTCACTTAAGCAGACAACCCCCTGTACATTGCCTTAATTTTGCTAACATTAATAATTTGACAATTAATATCACACATCAAATTCATCTGATAATTGGGCATGATTATCAGCTGGGAATTTAAATTCTTCTCCCTTCTTGCGAAAGCATAAAACAGCATATCGATTAAAACAATTTTACATAATTAACCAGATTTTAATCAGAAAAGAAAAGTCAGAATAAAACTGCCACTCATCAGCTGAATAACGTTGACAATTGCAGATAAGTCAGAATCGAACAAAAAAATATCCTTACTGAGCAATTATATACTCACGTAACAAAAAAAAAAAAAAAAAAAAAAAAAGAGATTGCCATGTACTTCTATCCTTTTTTTTACTCTATATTTTATTCTTCTTTTAGAACATATGACTATAAAATCGCAAAACATTCACAGTATCCAGTTGAATTATTATTGTCAGAGGTCAGCTGCCAGCAATCAATAAACAATTCATCAACATTTTCTCATTATACTGAACTTGCAAAAAAAGTTGCTTTTACCATTTTTACGAGGTTTTTATACCTAGAAATGCTAGGCACTTTTCTGTTATTGGGCGACCGGATTCAGAAATGTATGTATGCACATGTGTATGTCTGTACATGTATTTGCACTAGTATACATAGGCAAACATATATGCCTTCATATACAGCTGCATGCGTGAACATATACATAAAGGCATACATACCGGGTGCAGCAGGAAAACTTCCTTATTTGAAATGTGTGCAATCTAGCACCATTTATTCCCAGAAGGGTGGGGTGGCGCTCATTGAAAAGAACGGTATCTTAAGTTTTATGTCATGTAGGTTTAGTACCGATCATGGCAGTGGACGAGAGGAGCGTGCGTTCTCCATCCAGTCATATTTTTCAACGTACTGCATTTTCATCCATATAAACTGGCAGTGGTGCGAAAACTTAATCCATGCAATTTTCATTCATGAAAATGCTCTTGATGATACACCTCACGATCCCTTCTGTTCTTTAGCGATGAGGCTCATTTTCATTTTTCCGGCTGCAGCATGCATTAAGCAAAACATGCGATAATGGAGTGGCACAAATCCCCGAGAATTTCAGGAGCAGCCCCTCCTTGCAAAGCATGTTACTGTTTGGTATGCATTACCCAGAATAGGTATGACTGGACCATGATTTCTTGGAGAACATTTCCTTGGACGCCTTATCTCTTTATGAGGCGACCTGTCAGTGGCCAGCGTGCTTGCCTGATTTATCCCCATGTGGTGGGGCTATCTGATATCTCTAACGTCCAAAGACCCTGGCTCAACTGAAAAACAATATTCAAGCTGCTAATCGACAACATACTCGCTGATATGCTGGTAAAAGTGGAAAGAAACTTAAAAACTTGACTATCTCGAAGCATTGACGAGAACAGAGGCCACCTTAACGATATTATTTTTAAACCGTAATAAAAAAAACTTCTCTCTATAAATTGGGAAAAAATTAAACCGATATCACTTATACTATCTGTGTTATTCATTTTTAAAATAAAGTAGTTTCCCTGCCGCACCCTGTACATATATTTCTCAACCTGGTCCCAATAACGGACGGGAACCAAATGCTGAAAACAACTTTGGCACTTTTTTTTTTATTAAAATGGCCACTGCATGATTTTTGGCAGTACATGAAATTTGCCTGTTATAGACCGGTGGACTAATAAGTTTGTCAGTTTTGAGGACTAAGCACTGGGCCGATTTAACAAGGAAGTGCCACATCATTTTATAATTAAGGCTTTTCCAAATGATGAAAAATTATAGATGATGATTTTTTTAACTTTCAGATTATTTACATTATAAAAGTAATTCATAGTTAAGGAAAAATATAACAATATTTATCTTTGCAACAATCTCACAGCACAAACTACTCACAAAATAATATTTCCAAAACTGCCAATAACTTACCAGAGTTAAGAGTTACTTGCTTTGCAATATTATTATGTTGGCCATTATCAGCTGGACCTTCAATTTCAATTTTCATTTCTAAAGGAGAATTGATATTGTGAGCTGAAGCACTAACATGAAAAGGTATGTTGGGTCGAAGTTTCATTGGTGCTATCACAGTATATACAGCTGATGAAGTAGGAGCTATAGTTGTAGACCTATGAAAATCAAATAAGAATTTCAAATTCTATTACAATGTGAAATTTAATAATACATGAAACTATTCAAGTACGGATAAGCAATAACAACATATAGCCTGCTTTAACCCGTGAGTGCACGCACAGGGTCTGATGGAACTGCGCGATTAAACAAATCCTTCTCAAAGCATGCCTATTTCATACAAATTGTTGAAGTCCACCGTGTCTGAGGTCGAAATCTTTATGTTTCGAAATTTTTTTTTACTGGGGCTTTGATTCTGATTTTGATCAGATTGGGCCATTTAGATCCAGCATGTATATTCATATTACTATTACATAGTTGATTTGTGATAGTATAGAAAGCGGCAAACGTGTTGCATAAATTATCTTACAAGGAAGAAATGTTGCAAAGGTTCTTAGATGCATCAACTGGCATAGAATATTATTGAAGAAAATGAGGATGGAAGTGATAAGGAATGTTTAGTTCATACGATAACAATTCTCAGGAACTGAGATAGCATAGATTCTGAAAACAAGAGTGAGAATGACATAAATTTACTTTATTCGGAAAAATTATCGGGAAAGATTTTAAAAAAAAAAAAAAATTTTTTTTTTTGCCCAGCAAAAATGCACACAAAAACGAAAACTTGCTGCGCAGAATGTGAAAAATATCTGTACATGCAACACACAGCACTTTGTATTTATACAAAGTATGCTATCATTTGTTGTTGCATTTTTTTCTCGGTGTCTACAGTGCTAATAAAGAAAATAAAGAATATATGCAGAGTAAACAACAGAGCTAATAAAGAAACGACATGAAGATACAGTATTCCCCCCCATGTTAATATAGAATACAGTTTTCTATTACTTTTAGAAATTTTATTTCATAAAAGCATTTGCAGAAATTATTAAATATGCATATTTTTTTAAAGTCTGATCCTAAAATTGGCACAGATGTTTTATTGTTTTTTGATTATTTGGAATTTTTTCTTCAAAAATCCCGTATCAGGTACTTGGACCCAGTGCGTGCGCTCGTGTCACTCGTACAAGCGCATGCGCTCGCGGCTTAAGCAAGAGGGTGGGAAACAATGGAGAATAATATTTAGTTAATCTTAGTTGACAGTCCAATTTTGGAGACTTCTGACAAAGTATTTATTTGGTAATGCTTATTAAGATGATAATCAATGAAATATGGTAGTTTGCTTCAATATGTAAAAATGAAACATTATGTTAATAACCTCGAAAAATGGGCAATAATTACTTTGTACACCCTTATTTAGGGACTTTTGCACTAAAAGAAAAATGACATAGAAAATTACATAACCAACAAGTTTAGAATACTAGCATTTGTTTAGGTTTCGATTCGGGAGTATAAGGTGGGCTATTTTTAGTGAAATTACTCATTTGGCAACTAAAAAGGAAATAATCAGTACCACACTGCAAGTGAATCTCATAACCATTAAAGGGAAGAATTTCCCTCAACCATGGAAGAAATTTCAGTTTCAGAAAGGGGGAATGCAGTTAGCACTTTATTCATCTGTCTGTTAACTATTTAATTTTAGTTTATGAATATAAAAAACTACTTTTATTCAAGTTCCGTATCTACAACATTTTCTATATGTTTCTAGGAAGGGATGATCATTTATTTAGCAGTGGTGAAAAGGCGAAGGGGGGGGGGAAAGGTCCAGAACCACTGGATACAATGGTTCAAAAACTGCACACTACGACACCCTAGGGATGTCATAGGCTCTACATAGGGGCACTGTGAAATATTGTAAAAACTTCATAATTAACTGAACCAAGATATTTGGCTTAACAAAATGAAAACAAAGAAGCTAAAATTATGTAGGTTTTTGTGGTTTGTTTTTACTTGACCCTATATTTGCTGGCACAAAATATTTTATTCTTTTCAGCGTGAGCCGGCAATGCTGCGCCTTCTCGATTGTGCTATACCTAATGACAATTTAACCTGAGAACATGTACATGGCTAGAATGACCTTTTCACTGCTCATTCCATCTGGATGAGAATATACTAGAGCTGCATCTGGATTTACTTCTGTGGAAGAAGAGAATCTTATTGAGTTACAGCATGACAACACTTTGAAAGAAGGGAACTAATAGAATTTTAGGCTTCAATAAAAGTGATACGACTCACTCATACGACTTCAATAAAAGTGATACGACTCACGCATAAAATCTGCTGTGCTTTAAAAAAAATAAATAAAAAATAAAAAAATTTTAAAAAAGCATGCGTAAGAGCTATAGCTATGAAATGACAAACTGCAGAGATAAATTCAGGTAAAATGTTGCCATTCACAAAGAACAAAATATTTTTTAAATAACCTTCAGTTCTGGTTAATTCACACACTACTGAATACAACACAATCCATAGTAATCATGCTACTTCGAAATACAATCATGCATCCCCGCAATATAGATATATAAAAGGAAAAAATTATTTAAAAAAAGGTGGTGAGAAAAATATTACAGAACAAACTTCAGAATTTTTTTTTACTTACTCTTGTCCATATGAATATGCAATAAGGGCAATAAATGCCCACAACACCACCAGCATCTTCTACCTGCAAAAGAAATTAAGATTAATTATATTATTTATAGATAATAGAAATAATAAAATTCTAAATAAGAGAGTAAAATGTCTGCAATATTTATGAAATACAATACTGAATAGATAGGGGGAATTATTCTCAATTACATGGTACTAACTGATGCACATACAGCCACTGCCCAGCCTGGTACTGTGACTAGTGACACAAACTGCTGAGTTGTCTCTGACCCAGATATATTTCCTATATCCGTACAGAACTATTTACCAACCCAGCAAATGTCAAACATTATCTGCCAGAGCACAGCACCTTACGCAAGGCCGTCAGATGAAATAGCATTTATTAAATCAAGCAAACACAGATTAAAATCTGAATAAAATGTAAATGATACCATGCAATGTACGAATACTAAATACATGGTGGTTAAAATTAAAACACCCCTACTCTTGACTTCTCTATACATCGACTACTGAGTTTAAAAAGGCCCCAAAAATTGTTCAACATACTATTCATGGTCATAAGACATGGGGAAACGGATTATATGAAAAAAAGAAAATTGGATTATATGAAAAAAAGAAAATGTTGCTGTAATAGCTGGCGCTGTGCAACGGAAAATATGCTAAAAAGGCACAAATAATCACAAACAAAAAAAAAAAGACAGATATGGAAATATTCCTTTTTAATTTCTATTGCTGATATGAAACAAAAGAATACAAAAAAGTTAAGAAACTTAAACTATCATTGTAACTGCAATTTTGCTCTCTGACCATCTTGTTCTCCAGATCTTAACCCAAGTCTGTGGGGTTATTTAAAAAAATCTTGTTTATCAACGACATCTGGTAACTTTGGCAGATTTGAAAGACAGTATCACTCTGCATGTGAGAAGCATCTCAATCGACCAATTAAGATCCACAGTTGAACAAGCTGTTCACAGACTGCAGATTTTACATCTTGAAGGAAACCATATTGAGCAGCTTCCCTTGCATCAATAAGGTTTTTGTGATATGAATGTTTGGTACATTCGAATAAAATATGTTATAATGTGTATTTTGTCTCTTTTCAGTATATGTTCCATTGTACAACGGCACCTATCAGTGTTTCTGGAACTAATTTTTTTTCCCCGTAATCCATTTCCCCATGTCTTGAATAATATGTTTAACAATTTTGGAGCCTTTATACTCAGTAGTTTGATGTATAGAGAGCTCAGAGTAAGGGTGTTTTAACCACCTTGTATAAACGCAGGACATATATGTTATGTAGAATATGCATAGGTGATTAGGTAATACAAATATTAATAAAACATATATAAAATTCAAGATATGTAAATAAATTAACACTGTTGCTCAGTTTCTCAACAAACAAAGTTGTCACAAGAATAATACAGAATGCGGTTAGTTACGCCGACTGCCATACCATTGTATCCAAGTTCGAATCCCAGAAGACGTATTAATAATTAAATTTTTTAAACAAATTATGCAAAATAAAGATCCATGCATGATTTCTAATACAAATTTCAAATAAAGATAGAACTTCCTTTAACCTTCACACTGTGTAATAAGGGAATTTAATAACCTGGATCAGCATTTCCCAAACACGCTTCCTAGAGTTCGGCAAAAAATTGTTTAAGAATCTTGCAACAAACATGTGAAAAACACATATGTCACAAAAGATAATTTTTTTCTCCTGATTCGGTAAACTTTGGTGGAGAAAATGATTGTGAATGGGATAAGCGAACTAGCTGATGATAACTGAAAAGATGCCTTTGGCTGTTCGGCTATGCTCAGTTAAGACTCGTTATCAACACTCGTATGAATTTCTCTGTTATTTGCATAATCAAATCAATTCTTAAATTTTATACTTTTTTTTTAAAGAAAATTAACTTATTCTTTAGCTATTTTCATTAAATTGTACATCTGAGCTGCAAATGCAAGCAACGTGTCTAACTGAGCATTAGCTGAACAATCAAAGGCAGCTTTTCAATCATCACAGACTTTAATCTAGTGTGACTGTGTAGGCATTATAGTGATGCAAGAAGTTCAGGCAAAGAACGTCTGTGCATATTCTTTGGTTTAAGACCATGTGGCAATTAAACAGAATGTTAGAGTGCATTTTTTATTTTGCATTTTTTTACTTTACTATTATTTTATTACTATCTTATTAGTATTTTTTCAGATCCCCCAATTTTATATTCCATAGATTTTATATTTCCGATATTCTACAATTCCGAAGAGACTAGTTAAGATTTAGAATCTCATAAAAATTAGAAAATACTTATAAAGAAAGAGGTGCAAAAAAGGTTCATCGTTACAATGAAAGCTTAATCGATGGGCTGGTAATCCAGAATGTTCTCTTCTCTTGTGCCTTATTTGTATAAAAATAAAACTTCTGAATACAGCAATAGCTCCAGTAAATTTGAACAGGTATTTACAACAAACCAAACTCTTGATTATTTTAAGACTTTGTTAAAATCTCGAACTAAACAGACTACAGCTTTTGTAATCATAAAGTGTTCACAGTTGGTGAAAAGGCTCAGGAAGCAAGTTATTTGGTAGTCACACAGTCGGTGAGAATCTAATAACGCCCACATATAAAAATATAGTGAGTAAAATGTCGGGAGAAGATGCAGTAAGGAAAACTGAAAATATTCCACATTTGGACAATACAGGAAGTCGATAAATCACGGATGATGCTACTTCCACAGTTGGCTCCATGAAAGGCTTTGTTTCTCTTGTAAAAGGAAAAAATGTCGACATTGTTTCCACCTGTTTCATTCATAGCAAAATGCTGATGCCAGTATCTCTATGAACTTCAAAAGGTATTTGATAATGTTAAATAAATGGTAAACTTCATTAAAGAAAAACCACTTCACCCCAGAATTTTTAAAAAGCTCTGTGAAAACATGGATAAATAGCACACAAATCTATTGCCATACACTGAAATCCAAGAGGCAGAGTTTTTGAGCTAAAGGAAGAAATGCATGCACATTTTTAACAAAACGACAAACTAGACTTTATCAAATGCTTTGAAAATCAAATGTGGGTGCAGATGCTAGCTTATTTAGCAGCTATTTTTCATCATTTGAATCAACTCAGTAAGTCACTGAAAGGCGACGGAGAAAATATACTAACTTCAAGTGACAAAATTAATGGATTTGAAAGGAAATTACACTTACAAAAGATCATGTTGTAAAAGGGAATCTTGAAACATTTAAATTACTGGCAGTATAAAAAAGTGAAGATGGATACTAACAATTTTATAGTTTTATTGTATCCCATCTAAAGGAGCTGCCAAAGAAAATTTATTGTTTTCCATCCCTGTCAACAGAAACAATTGCGGAAGGAGTCTATTTTCTTGCACTTCTGTTCACCCTCAGAACCTAACTTTAAAAGAACTTGGACAGAGGCGTATCATCTTCTTTCTATAAAAGATGAAATTCCCGTACGTATATTGAAAACCAGGCCTCAAATTCAACACTTACGTTTAAAAAAAAAAAACAGGTGAATATTTCACATTAATAACTGTTATAAACTGTTATACTAAAGAAATTTAATATTTATCTAACTACAATTAGAATTTATATGGTTACTGTAATATCCTTTTTTGTGTGCGTGTGGGGATAAGTGTTTGGTTTGAAATAAATGACTAAAATAATAATCAAAAATACACTGAAAGATATTGCACAGTTAATGAACATTAAGAATTACTCTAAGACTAAAATTAAAAACCCATCAGATTTAAAATACGCATCAATACGTAAAAATTTAAGAAATTATGATTAAACTTATTTAGCAGCACGATTCTTACATTTTTTTTTTCACTTTCATTAATTATAGATTTCAACATCAACCATGTTTTGTAAAGAATGATCTGATAGCTTTCGGAGTAATTGCTAACTGCCAGATTTCCAAATTTTAATTAATGGTTTAATTTTACAGCTAGTAGTAACTGTAACTCATTATTTTCTTTCGAACTGAACTCTGAGGAGAGAGGGGGAGCAGACAGCGGTTAACGAGTTTCTGAATAAAATATTAGGTCAATCACATGCATATGTGACTAAATGGTCAAACTAGTATCTTATGGTAAACTATTCAAGAAAGTTTTGGTTTAAACGATAAATTAAAAATTTTTTAATGGCAACATATATCAGACGGATAGAATTTCTAGAGGAACATTTTAAGGGGAAAACATCCTCTTAGATTCTAGACAATACAGCAGGGTTTCTTTAAACTGTGGGTCATGACGCCCTGGGACCAGCAGCAGGGGGGGGGTCGCCAAAATTTTAGCAGTTTTGATATTTCTTTAACTTATTACAATAATTTTACAATTACCAAATATTTTTGGACAATGTATCTGAAAAGAGATAAAGCTAAGACAAGACAGACAAAGAAAAAAACGAAAACATTTCCACGTATTCTTTTTATAATATGTTCATTGCATGTGACGCTATCATTTCATCTGTTACTTATTTAAAATTTTCACATTGTTCTATGTCTTAAAATTAGAAATTAAAGTTAATGACCTAAAACTGCAATAGTATATTACAGTACAAGTGAAAAAATTGACGGTTTCACTCATGGGTGTGTCGGATTTGCGCACTACTTATGAGGTCCCACATAAATTTTGTAAATATTATGGTGTCCTGGGGGTCGCGAAAACGTCTGAGTGATAAAAACAGGTCGCGACTCAGAAAGAAACTCTGCAATACAGTATCCGATTTAACTGAAGAATCGAGTCGCAAAATATTTATTTCTTTATCACAGAAGTAGAGGACTAGCATTAACTATTAGGAAGTTAATTTCGTGACTTCTCATCCTGCGTAGTTCAAACAACGATCGTAAGGCAGAAGTGTTGACATTACGATGTCATCGACCCATCTACCATGACGGACGAAGCGAAGTTCAAGGGAAGAACGGATGGTTAGAAGGGGGGGGACAGGTGGTCTGCGGTGGAGAGGAGGTCCACAGAGACCTAATTTCCTTTGCTCCAAAGCTTCGTCACTGGCGCATTGCCCAGCA